AACTAATCTTATATTCTGCTTATTTGCAGGATGCTTCGAGTGGGGACCTCACTTGATGGCTTATTTTGCAGTGACATTGTACTATAAATTCAAAGTACAAAATTCTCCCAACTATAAAATCTGATTTCTTTCTGCACAGCCAATGAATTGCGCCAGCACAACCCCCCGATTGCTACCCATTGCCTCACCTATAGGACTGGACGGCAACATTAGGTGACGCAATTATATTCTCTAAAATCGACTTGGTTAAAGCGTATAACCAAATCCCGATGGTACCAGAAGATATTCCGAAAACACCTATCATTACACCTTTCGAACTTTTTGAATTTCCACGTATGCTATTCGGTCTCCGGAATGCAGCAAAAACATTCCAACGCTTCACCGACGAAGTATTTCGCGGTCTCGACTTTGTATACGCATACCTAGACGACTGCCTCATTGCCAGTCCAGACAAAGAAACTCACCTTAGACACTTGGACTTGGCATTTGGAAGGTTACGCCAACATGGTATTACCATCAATATTCAAAAGTGTCAGATAGGCGTTGACTCACTCGACTTCCTGGGTCACACTATTGACTGCAAGGGCATTCGTCCACTGGCTAGTAAAGTCGAGGCGAGCCACAGACAGTGAAAAGTCTTCGCACTTTTAACGGCTTGGTAAGCTATTACCGATTCAGCCATTGACAGACCTTCTTCGAGGGAATAATAAGTCCATCGAACTTGACATGTCTGTTCGAAATGCTTTTACTCAGGTTAAAAAAGCTATTGCGGATGCCGCACTTATAATGTATCAGGATCCAACGGCACCGTTAAGTATCTCGGTTAATGCATCAGACACTGCAATCGGCGCAGTTCTACAACAACTAGTTAACAGAGAGTGGCAACCACTCGCCTTTTCCTTGAGGCGTCTACAACTAGCAGAAATCAAGTACAGCACATTCGGCAGAGAACTTCTGGCTATGTACTGTGCTTTACGTCATTTTTGACATTCAGTGGAGGGTCGTGAATTCATAATTTTCACTGAACACAAACCTCTGACGTACTCTCTGAACTCAACTTCAGATAAGTATTCACCTAGGGAATCACGACAACTGGACTACGTTTCACAGTTTACATCGGATATTCGCCATGTATCCGGAGTGAACAACACTGTGGCAGATGTCTTGTTGCGCGTTTGTTCCCTCACTAAAATCGAAGGCGTAGACCTTGTAAAACTGGCTCGTCTTCAAAAAGAAGATACCGAGCTTCAACATGAGTTGTCGAAAACAACTCTGCAATTAGCCGAGAAACCATTAGTTATGGGAGAAGATACTATTCTATGCGACGTTTCCACGAGTACTCCTCGCCCCATCGTGCCAAAAAGTTATCACCGTAATGTCTTCAATACGTTGCATGGCTTATCCCACCCAGGTATCCGAACAACCGTCAAGCTCGTAACTACACGGTTTTGTTGGCCTGGTATTATTAAGGAATTAGGGGAATGGGCACACACGTGCTTAGCATGCCAATAGTGCAAGGTAGTGAGACACACCAAAAGCCCCCTTGGTACCTCTCTTGTCCCTGACACCCGTTTCGAACACGTTCATCATATAGATTTGGTTAGGCCCCTCCAGGAATCCCATGGATATACTTATTTTTTTAATCTGCATCGATCGTTTCACACGATGACCTGAAGCATTACTCCTCAAGGATGTATCTGCTGAAACAGTCACACGCGTCTTTGTCGAAAGATGGATCGCAAACTTTGGATGCCCATCCTCCATAACAACCGATCGCGGGCAAAAAATCCGAAAGCGGCTTATTCTTCGCCCTAACTAAAATCATAGGTTGTATGCTTTTTAGAACAACACCCTACCATCCTCAAGCTCGTGGTAAGGCTGAAAGACTACAGAGACAGTAGAAAGCTGGTTTTGATGATTTCCATAGAAGCATCTCTAAATAAATCAATAATTATTTTTGAAGTGCTTACCGGTTAAGTTCTTAAAATTCATGCAGTAATCGACAACTTCGTTAGACAGCCGGCAATCTAAAACAGATGTGTCTACTAAATGTAACGATTATTCATTCCTCCTACTGGTTAGATACACTTGCCGTATTTTTGCCAACAGGAGATGAAGAATGGAAGTTCGGAGCATAGCATTCGAAGCACTCAAAATGGATGGTATTGATTTAGATTTATACCTTGGAATTGAGGTTACGAACGAAGTCATCGAATATATTACAATCTGGATATTGTGTTCTGACGCAACCAACTTCTCTGGCAGCTACATCAGTATCCATGGAGTTGTAAAACAACAAATGCTTGTCAACTTTCTTTGTATCCCTGAAAAATATGTTAGACAGAAAACGGCACCTACATTTTTCCCAGCTTCATACTAGGCATTGGCAAGGTGTCATCGTTCGTGTCTACCACCTTTTTAGTGCTTTGACCACAGCCTCTCAAAAGCTTTAGAGACCTTTGACATTTCTCATACATATCTAGAAAGGTAATAATGAAAATATTCCAACTTACCAAACTCCTGCAGCTGACAGAATTCAAACAATGACCATCCAGCCCCAGTATACACAGCCTCTACTGTGGATGGCTTGGAGTGCTGTTGTGTATGCACATAAACCACTTCGCACACTGCTACCCAAGTGTTTGGGATAGCAACCAAACTATCTATCATTCAGCAAACAGTGACGATGAGAAATCCGATTGATGTAGAATCCTGAAAAAAGGATATGTGGTGAATTGGAAATACGGCAGTGTTACTTTGATGTGTTTGTGTGTGTGTGTGTGTATGAGGTTGCTTAGCAAAAACTAACAGCATAGATATACCTGTACCTGCCTCAAAAAAGAAATCGGAATAAAACTGTCAACAGCATTAGCCAGTTAGAGGTAGATTTTTCAGACTTGACAACACATAGATGCTACGAAATAACGTGGACGAATTACATGCGAACAGTCCAAGCAACAAATTAGCCAATCCCATAAGTTCCTGCAAAGCACTTTTATTTAAAAGTATGAAGCAGGGGAATGACGGCTACTTCGTCTTTATCATGCGTTAGGACAGTCGTGCACTTGCAAACAATATTCAGATAGGATATCCAGTGTTTTTTCGTGACTGAATTTCCATTCGAACATCTGAATATCCCTAGATTCCTGGATTTCAATGGTCAAATGAAATCATCACTAAAGTCACAGTGGGGTCGAAAGCCGATCTTTTCTTCACTTCCCATTTCCACTATAATCCCTGGTGTACAACTAAGGCCATGATGACATTATCCAGTGAATAAAATGTGAACATGTACTAGTGAACGTTTTGTTTCCTTTGGTAAACTACTCAACGCCCTTAGTACCAGCTTACTTAGATACATGCTGGACACCTCTACTTTTCATAACATTAGGCAAACGTGCTCACAGTTATGTTGGGCACGTGATTTTCAGTGATGATTTCATTTTGCAGTGACATTGGACTACATATTCAAACTACAAAATTCTCCCAAATATAACATCTATCTTTTAGCAAATGAAACGAATGGTGCCATCATAGGATACAGATGATGATAACTGGCATCGGGATCAGCAGCAGTCTTTGCGTTCTGAACTCAGTGTTAGTGTCCCGCATTGCTGTATTGAATATGGGCTGTGATGAGGGCTGAAACAAACAACACTTACAAGCAAGACCCAGTAGGTTCTGATCTACTTGTGTAAATGCCAAGAGAAAGAGCAGCGTGCTGAATTATTGCCTGTCATGCTGGAAACCAGCAGTGAGTGCGTTACATTCAGAACACATTGACAAATTATTGACTACACATTTCAGAATTAGTGAGATTTAATTCAGCATTGTATTAAGCGCAAGAGACTGTCCTACCTTACCATTTTTAGCCTAATATACGTCAATTAGTTCAATGATTGCAGGTTTACCATAACCATTAATGGTTAATTAATAATCAATTTGAGACTAAAAACAATCTACATAGCAGCATTCAGTGATAACATTTAACCTCAACACTTTAAAATATGCAAAACATCGAAAAAAGCCGAAAAAACTTTAATGGGAAACGAATTGATGAAAGTATGTGACCAGTCGACGCAGGAAACTGTAGTGTACATTGTACCTTTGAACTTTTGTTTGAATGAACGCAACCTGACCTTTAACCCCACTTCCCCTTTGTACTCCTGATCCTCCTGTACAGTTACTGTCTCGCTCTCTCGCTGTACTTTCACCTAGTACACTCTACGAGCTGACAATCCTCTCACCTCCAGATAAGTGTGTACTTTTTATTTCTTATCAAATTCCATATCTCTTTGTGTAAATACAGTTCCGGTCCAGTTACACTTGCCATTTCGAGTCTTTTAACTTTGATTCCGTTCTTTAGTACTTGCACGTAGGCAGAGTACTAATTAAGGTCATAAACGGTGAAGGAGTCTGTAAGAGCGGTTATTGTTAGGTCGAAGTAAATCCTAAGTCTAACTCTTACAAAACCACCACGACCTAGAATCTGGGTGTAACAGAACAGTACATGTGCTGCAGACAATAATAAATATATCAAGCACGCTGGGATATGGCGTGAGAAGCAGAACACAGAGTCGGGTTGAAACATGATATAATTACCATTCGAACGAATTGCAGAAGTCAAAGATATATATATATCAAAAGATATACGCTATAACTGTTCAGCGACCACGGGTTTTCGAACGGGTGATGATATCCGTTAGAGCGTGTTAAATTTTCCGCGCCTCAGGTTTTCTCGTCTTTCATTGACTGGAACAGTGGCGGCTTATTTCATATTTAATTTGTCCTAGGTAGGTGATATCGCGTGCAGGTTTGTGTGGTTGAGGTATGCGTTGTTTGCAAGCATATTTGTAATGCTAAGTGATCTGACTGAAGGTCATTTGAATTCGGTGTCTATTGTTTACCCTTCCTTATATCCTACAAGAAATTGGAAGTGAGAAAAGTGAATGGGTTGTATCGCCTCGTAAATGGTACATTGGAAATTGGACATAAGTGGAGGGAGATCCTTTTTCAAGGTCACCGGTCGACCTTCGCAGAAACTTTCACGTTGTTATGAGTTCACTTCGGTGGGTTATTTGACTTAGAAATTTAGGTAGTATATCATGAGTTCGGGATTATTAGAATATAAAGAATACTGAAATTTCGTTTGAAAGAATGACAGATGTCATTTAGGTGTAACATACTGTGGTACGTTACTGAGAATGCTCAACGTGTATACCACTATCTACCTCAGAATCAGGATTGACTTGACAATAGGTTGCACTTTCATTAACAACTCAGTATGTATGTATACATATGTAGAGTACTACAGTGCATCATGGTGAAGTTCAAGAGTTTCTCACGTGGCCTGTATCTAGGCGAGTAATTAGTACTGTTTAATTTCTCTTCTCATAGGCCCTTTTAGTTGTGTACTCAGTTTGTTTCTGCTTTTTGTCTGCTTATCGATAGATTGGCCTGAGGAATAGATGACTGCTTAAATCTAATTTTATACACATTCACTGTGCGTCAGTGGCACGGCGGTTAGGACTCTCGCCGACCATTTACATAGTCCGAGGTTCGGTCCCCCGCCGACGCACACCTGATATCTATGGTCGGCCTGTGAAATCTGGGCTAACGATATCACATGCTGAAAATTCCATACTTGTACCAAGAATACGGTGTGGAATCAAGCTAAAATAAAATTTAAAGAAATAAAAGAACATATATTCCTCCAGAGTTGACATGTGTTAGCTGTTCATGAACAGCTAATGGTAAATGCATTTACCATCTGGATGTTTTTCCTTCTTTTATTCTCTTGCAGTGCTTTACTATTTCACCTTTTCATATGGGATTATAGTGGTTAAATAATGTGGAAATACTGGTCATATTTTGGTAAAGTATTGGTTAAATAACGGAAAATGCTTGTTCATTAATGGTAAGATATATATTGGTTGAATAATGGTCAGAATGAGTGAAAGTTTACCCATTTCCTTACAATACGTCTTGTCCATTGTTTGCTCATTACTCACCCATTTTTTCAGTTTTATCCGACTGGGTTTGACTTGTTTGGAGAATTGTTTGATGACACTACAACTGCACATCCGAGCAGTTACACTATGTTTGAAAGAAAATCATATATTCCTGATGTATTTTGCTGAAGTCCCTGTGGTCACTGAATTCAGCAGAGCCAAAACAGATAGGGACAGATCTGCGGTAACGGAATCCTCCAAACATCGAGTGCAGTTCCATAACATGGAAAAGTGAGCTATCAAAAATCAATAGGTTTATGAAAACTCCTTACTAAGGTGTTGGATGTTGGTCTCATCGTGTTTTAAACTGCTCTTATAATAGCGGAATTATAATTTTCTGATGACAGCTCTTTAAGTTTTATTTACAACAGCCTTTTCTAGTCCTCGCAAAAGAATTTATTTGAAAACTCACATGTATGAAGGCACGTGCTAGCTCCAGTCGAGTTGTGAGCTTTTCGTAACCAAGGTCATTAGAATTACATCAATAAATCTAGAGCAATACTAGAATTTAAAAGTGTTGGAAGCACACGTTACATCTAATCTAGGATAATAAATGGCTGACGTTAAGGGATCGATCTTATTGTGACCGTACGATTGCGTTGTACAAACGCAGTGTAATCCCATAGCCCGGATCGGCAGTTAGGTTTGTGTACGACTTAATCTAAGATGCTGAATACTCTGGTATGTGGTTGTTTCAAAAACTTACTTTTTACTTTGCTTCGGCTATCTCCTACGGAAGGATGGGCCGGCTTCATGAACTTCTCAAATCATCGCTACCCAGGCGCAGCGATCTGATGAAGAGAGTTTACGTAGTTTCATGGGAATTTGGTACGAGTGATGTCCCCAGAACCACTCGGCCTTTTGTTTGAGAGTGCAGCTCTAGCCTTTACACAACCAAGTGTGACCTACAAGGCAGTAGGAGTGGAGTAGGGAGTCCACTATCCATTGGCAGTCGGTGACCGGAGTTCGGTTCATACGCCTTTTTGAATGGGGCCAGACATCCAGGGCATCCAACAAGCCCTTTGTCCATACGTCTGCTGGTGAGCTCCAGTGAGCTTCATACGCCAGTCGTTGGAGGTTTGGAATCAGGGTTTAGCCATTTCCCCTAGACTGTCATCCAATGGACAGTCAACCCGGTGAAGGGCGCCCGGCATCCGCTTTCGCCCTCTCACTTCGGTGAAAAACACCTCTGCCACGTGAAGGCAGTGAGTAGGACTTCCTCAGGAAGCAAGCATATCTGTACTTCTTCAAATAAAGGGCGTAGTTATAATCACTGTTTGCTATTTGTCATCTGCCGAACTAACATTCAGAGTACCCCATCTGTTTTTTATACTTTTGTATTACTTATATTTCCTCGCACCATTGGATATAACTCACTCCCTGAAACTTTTATTTTTATTATAATAAAGGTTTTTTATTCTTCCCAATGAATGAAAAACAATAAACGATAATGTTTCTACTGACGTTTCGCTATTTAATGCTAATGGTATTATTAAACCAGAATTCACAAAATCTCAGCTTATATATAACAACTTAATCATCGTTCCTCAGCATGGGGGCATTTTTGCGTTGTCAAATTGGCCATTTGGTGTAGAGATAACAAAACCAGGTGTAGATGACTGTTGGATTTGATAAGTGTGTAAAATTATAAAAGCAGTATGTGTTCACCTAATGAAATTGCTTATCACATTCGTGTTGTTTTCGTCATTTTACGGGGTGGGGATGGGTGTTGTAACCAGGTCAAATTCTGTCGTAGTCCATCATTCCTATTTAGACAATTTGGATCCCACTTGATATGAAGTGCTTCTGATGATGTCAGATGTTCTTTGTGATTTCTGAAATCCTTTTTCTGGATTATTTCAATATTGTCAGAATCAATTTTGTGGCCTGATTCTATAGTGTGTAGACCACCTATGGCTGATGATTTTTCAAGCTTTTCTAATTCACTAATTAGATTTCTTGGTGGTAGTCGAACAGATACGGCTATACGGTGTTCATTTCTTCTGATTTTGATTTCTCAAGATGTTTTTTCGATGTATGCCGCATCACATTCCATGCACTTTATTTTGTAGACACAATCAGATAGAGAATCTTCAAGGATTTGGTCTTTTGCATGGACAAGGTTGTTGTTTCGCAGTGTGTCTGATGTTTTGAAGAAAGCTGTGATATCGAGCTTATTGAGTACTCTTTTGAAATCGGATGACGTCTCTGCTCTATATGGAATGACAAATGGACCGATTAAGTAATGATAAATTGTAAGGGAAGTGAATGAAATACGTTTTAATGAAGATGTGATAATACGATTAAGGGATGATAAGAGATGGGTTGAAAATATAAGTAAAGAGTGGTGGGGGTGATGTCATTAGTTGGTTAGGTTTTAATAGGCCAACAAAAGGGGGATAATGGCTGTGTGAACTTCTTTTGAATGCATAGTTTAGGCTTTTCTAATTGAAGCATCTGCACAAGAAGCCGACATGTCAACCTGAGACCAAGCGATTCGGTCCAGTTAATCGACACAAAAATCTCAAATTCAATTAAAAGGTCATTTAATTGTTTAGTATCATTTTTATCTGATATTCTCAGTGATTGTGCATTCTAATATGCATTTAAATGACAATCAGAATTAACAGCGTGTAAATTCAATTTGATATAATTTTGATTCACCTTTATTGGCTTTATTGTATTCTAACATTGGTAGACTTTATCATTATTAGAGCCTGATTGTGTTATTGAAAATAATTTGCTCAAATTAATCTTGTCTTGAATATGTTATGGGAATATTGAAACTACTGGCATCTTGCGAAATTAGTTATTTATAAAGTGTAGAAGAAATAGTTTACTTATCAATTAGATTCTCATCTCATTGTGGCTCTACTCTAATACAACAACAATTTACCAATCAAGTGGCACAGATATGTTTGTTAACAATAATTAGTCAGTATAAATATGTCTAACTCGGGTGTTAATTAACAAAGAAAGTTAGTACACACAATTAAAACGTAGAAATGGTTGTAATACATGGATTGCGTAGTTCGTAATTTTGGAAAAATTAAGGGTATTTAATGAATAAGCGTGTGCACTGGTTGATTGTTAAAGAAAATAAAACGATTTGGACAATGATAACTTGTAACTAAGGATTAAGTGGTCATAAGAATAAAATAATTTTACAAAGATAACATGTACTTAAAGATGAAGTAGTCAGAAAAAAATAAAACAATTTGGACAGTTGTGATTTTTGAGAATTTGAAAGGTTTAGGGTGAGGGGGTCGAAGTAGTCCGGTTTATACATTCATGTAACAATGGCCAGGTTAAGGAAAGTGCCTGTACAAATTTGTTCTGAACACACACAGGTATGGCTTTTTCATGGGGATTCCTGTTGCTTCAACTGTCGTATGTAGAAGATGAACTCGTAAAGCAAAATTAAGATTAGTAGGAATGCGATAAATAATTTAAAATGCTGTATTAACGTCAACCTTATGCTCACTATCTACAAGGTGTGTGTGCTAAAGTAGAGTCGCAAATAGATCTGGATACTGGATGATGTTCGGAAATACGATGAAATTGAAATTAGTTATTAACAACGAGAGAGAGAGAGAGACAGAGATAGGGATAAAATTACAAAAGTAAGTTGCAGGCTGATAGTGTCGAGAAAATCGTAGGTGGTGTAAACTGGTGTTAAAGCTTACCTGATTACCAAGAAGCTGGAGAAATAAATGACTGTATTGAGGATAGTTCCATCGACTAGAGCATCGCAACTGTAGCTATAAGAATAATTGCTTTCGAACACTAACATATCTTTCTTCATAAATCCTAGATACAGACTTAGTTATTACTAATCGCTACCTTACCCTTCTGTGCAAGTGGAAATGGGTGTTCATCAGTAGGCGAGGTGGAAATGTGCTGATTGCAATGTTTCCTTACCCCGTCTTTTCTAAGAAATGAATACTTCACTGTTTCAACATTGGTTTGATCCAGTAAAGTCTGTCTGCAATATTTCAGTGTAGGAGATTACGCTTTACATGTATAAGACCTTGACTGTCTGGGGAGATATTTTCAGCTACTCTGGGTCTTCTTTATCACGGATTTAAGTTTGGTCAGAGATAAGCATGCCATCAATAATTAATTTGTTCTGTAACCTGATAGAGATATAAAGCACGCAGAATGAAAGCTTATACTCAACTTAGATTTGCAATGGAGAAGTGAATCAGTGAATTGAGCGTTTGACTTTCAGTCTAAGGGTCTCTGGTTAGAATTCCCCTTCACCTTCCTTACTATTATATTATTATTGTTTCCTTTAATTCCTAGAGGAACATAGGGCTTCAGCCGTGCGTCTCCATTGCGTTCGGTTCTCTGCTACAGTCTTCACCTGACTCCATGTCTGCCCACACGTTTTCATCTCCTCTTCACATGACCTCCTCCAAGTCACCCTTGGACGGCCAGCTCGGTGTTTCCCTTTCGGTTTCCACTCGAGCGATGGCTTGTCTAGTGATGTCACTTGATGGTTTCCTCAGAGTATGGCCAGCCAATCCATCTCCATTTCTTCCTGCTTATTTGTTTCACAATCGGTTCCTGGTTGGTTCGCTCCCAGAGATCTCTGTTGCTGATCTTTTCTGGCCGGCCATCTGATCTTGAGTATTGAGCAAAGACAGCTGTTAATGAAGGTCTATAGTTTGTTTGTGATGCTCTTTATGACGCGCAGTGCAAGTCTCTGATCCGTATAGTAGAACTGACTGACTTCACATTTGAGTTGAAAATCCGGATCTTATTTTTGATGCTGAGTGCTGTTGACCTCCACACAGACTTGAGAGTAGTGAAAGCTTGTCTTGCTTTTCCGATTCTTGCTTTGATATCCTCGTCAGGTCTGTCCGCCTGTAGTTGAAACGATGCTTCATAGGTATGTAGAGGAGGTTGTTCCTTTCAGGTTCCTCCCATTTATGCTGATCGTTGTCTGTTGTTGTTCTTGTCCAGGAATCTTCATTACCTCTGTTTTCTCTATGTTCACCTGAAGTCCTATCTTTGATACTTCTTCTGCCAATTTGTTGCTTTTCGCTTGCATATCTTCCAGTTTTTGGCAAATCACCTTTCTTAGTCTGAGTAAATAGGCAGTGTTATCAGCTGTGGTAATAAATGTGTCTTAAAGCCTGCCAGATTTACAAAACAACGTCTATTTCCACTCCGTAGAAAATGTTTGCATTGTATTTGTCCCATAAATTGACTTCATATATGAGGGTGCCTAATGACTGCTTTTATTTTACGGTTTCCTAGATAATTTGTTCATTTATACTGAGGTTAGGCATCGAGTGCCAGGTACAGGGGAGAAATCAGTCGATGAGGTTGTGAAACGACATCGATTGAGTGAGATCGTTAGGACATGTGTTGCGCATGCATGCCTAGTCATCGATAGCCTCCCTCGACAACGAACAATATTAGCTGACATGGGATAGATCAGGTTAGAAAAGAGTTAGCTAGTGGTGGTCAGAACAAAACACGGCTTCATCAGTCAATCAAATCCTCAACAGTTAGTTTAGGTCAGTCACGTAGGGAGGTGTAGACTGGTCGGGGTCCTCGGGATGGTAAAACTCAGTGGCTGGGGACAATTATCGATGATATGGCTCAATATGGTTGCCAGTGGCTGGCGTAGATGCATTCGTATGATTTGTGATTTGTCATATCATTCAATAAAATTCTCTTATTCTTTCATATTACTAACTTCTCTTTTTCCCTCACTCACACATCTGTTTGTTCTCACTCTTTTGATGAATGTCACTTTACTATTGTGGTGTGAACATTTTCATAAACGTTTAGCATTTATATTATACACTATTCACATCTTTCATTTTTGTTTAAACCAGATTCTATACTGGAATTATAAAACGAATAAAGCCTTTATTGTGGGCCCTCAATATTCTCACTTGATCGGTGAATGTTTGATTAACTCGTAAACACTACAATTTATTCGTTTTATTATGGACAAGATATTACGTCCTGAACGCTTTGATGCTGATTCCAATTGCCAAACATCTTCGAAGATTTGGAATCATTGGTTTCGTACATTCAATACTTTTATCACTAAATCTTCAACTCCAGATTCAGACAAACTTGATGTTCTCATCAACTATATCTCACCTACTGTATATGAATACATTGCTGAATGTAAAACATTTGACGGCGCTCTTAGTACTCTTGAGAAACTGTATGTCAAACCAAAGAACGAGATTTTTGCTCGACATCTATTATCCACATGCAAACAAGAAACTGGACAGAGCCTCGACCAATTTTTACAAAAACTGAAATCTCTGGCAAAAGATTGTTCATTCAAACCTGTCTCGGCTGAACAAAATCAGAATGATGCAATACGTGACGCATTCATAAGTGGAATGCAATCTAATAATATACGACAACGTCTTCTGGAAAACAAATTACTTGATCTTGATACTGCTTATGAACAAGCTCGATCCCTAGAAATGGCTTATCAACAATCACATTCGTTTCATCCTTCCGAATTCTCCAATTCTGCTGCAATATCAAACAGTGATACATCAGATGAACTAAACTCTTTTGTGGGTGAAACAGGATTGACTGCTTCAATAAATGAGAAATGCTACTTCTGTGGATTTACTAGACATCCTCGCTCTAAATGTCCTGCAAGGGATGCAGTATGCAAACTCTGTGGTAAGAAGGGGCATTATCAGAAGGTCTGCCGGTCAAAATTGATCCGAACCCATCTTCTTTACTAGAGAAACAACGAAGGGTTCGTCCATACAATCTGAGAAGCCGCGAAGTCTAAACAATTTTAAAAGTCTTGACTCCTTATGCTCTGTATTCTCAAACAAAAGGGGAGAAGAATGTGGTGTGAACATTTTCATAAACGTTTAGCATTTATATTATACACTATTCACATCTTTCATTTTTGTTTAAACCAGATTCTATACTGGAATTATAAAACGAATAAATCCTTTATTGCGGGCCCTCAATATTCTCACTTGATCGGTGAATGTTTGATTAACTCATAAACACTACAACTATCTTGTCGGTTTGCGTGCTACACACGAAAAGAGAGTGGCAACTCGAACTGCTGCATATCAGTGCAAAGTTCTACGCTGAAACCAGTCAGTCAGTCATTGATAAATAACTTTTTTTTAAATAACTTTCTTTTTTTGCATCCATATACTTTTCTTTTCTAGTAACCACTCTTGGTGAATATCATGACAAGCAACTTAAATTCTTTGTATACCGAAGCAGCGTATTTAGTTTGTCTTGTTAAAGGAGGAGTTTGTCGACTGAAAACTGGTTTATACAATAATAACTTTAAATATGTAAGCCTTTTAACTGTTACAAATATTGTATCTGTTTATTTTTGATATTATTAATGTTTTATAAAATCAAACAACATATTTAAAAAAAAACATTTTTGACAATTTGCTAACTTAGGCTTAAAAAGAATTTAGAAATAAACTATGCGGCAGTGAAAGACAACTAACTGCTGAGGAATACATTCTTAATATACAGTATTTATTAGCCGTGGTGGTGGTGGTGGTGGTGGTGGTGCGACTTAAGCTGTCTCCAGTGTTAAGCCAATGGTATTAGAATTTCATTAACCAATCGACTCTTAGAACTGGTTCATGTAAGTAATACTATGGCGAGTGGTACTGATAAGATTTATCAGTAGTATATAAAGAGATGTTCATCGGCAAACAAAAAAAAACACGTCAAATAGCAAGGAGATACATTTGATGTCAGCGAAGGCATATGATACAGTGTTGTGGAGATACATGGGAGATGTGAAAGGAACACACTATGAAGGAGAGAAGTACCACAACATCGAAGATATGTGCAAATTGGTGCGTTGAAAACAAGGTATACATAATTTGGCTATGTCGGTCGGTCGGTTTTCGACATAGAACTTTGCACGTATGTGAGGCAGTTCAAGTCGCCACACTCCATGCAGCACACAAAGCAAATGAAGAAGAAAGTAGGAGAAATGCATATAAGAGACAGTAAACAGAGGTGTGAGACAAAGGAATAGTAATAACGAAGAACAAAACAGTTTCATTGGAAATCATGAGTCACAAGGAGTGGATGCATCTGCGCTAGCAAGTGAGAACGATGTTGAGCCATGTCACCAATAGTTTCCAACCATTGGGTTTTACCGTCCCGAGGACCCCAACCAACCAGTTAGGAAGTTTACACCTTCTTACGTGGCTTAAGCTAACTGTTGTGGATTTCATTGACTGGTGCCATGTTTTCGTTTGACCGCCGCTAGCTCTTTTCCAGCCTGGCCCTATATCAGCTAACATTGCCCATTGTCGAGGAAGGCGATGACTAGGCATCCATGCGTAACACATGTCCTAACCATCTCAGTCGATGTAATTTCACAGCCTCGTCGATTGATTTCCCCTCCCACCTACCTAGCACTCGACGCCTAACCTCAGTATTGCCCACCTTATGATACCACTTCACACGGGAGATAGAACGCAGACACCTATGATCGAAGACAGCTAATCTTTTCATGTCTTCCGCTCTCAATGGCTATGTAGATAGACCAAAATGCAAATAAACACTCCTTTACCGAGTCTTTCGTCTTCTATCGTTTCAACACGAACTAACTTGACAATGCATCAAGTTGATCAAGAAAGCTTTGTGTGCTTGTGGAAGTGTGTAGATGACTACCAATGGTCCAGGTGAAAGTTAATTTCTTCAAATACCTGAAAGACATTGGGCGTGAGACTAGCAACTTAACCTCGTAAAAACGACATCACCGCTACTGCAACCTCAAAGGTTAAAGGGTGGCATCTTATGTTCCACTTGGAATGTAAAAGGAATTGAATAAATAATAAATAACCTGAGAAAAGAGAGAAAAAAGCATTAGTGGTGCATGACTGCAAAGATTCCGAGGAAACTGTTTGACGCCAATTACGTACACACCTCCGTATGAAGATATTAACACCGGCTACGGACGACACCACAGGTTAGGTTGGGATGTACAATTTTCGAGGCCGATCTTCTCTAACCTTTTCACCCCTCAGAATGGAGAGGCAGTATGTCATAGCTGGCTTGCCTGCTTGCTAGTCTTTCAAAGGCAACACCTTGCTACTGTTGCAACAACTGCTCGTCAGCAGTAAGAATTTGCGAACAATATATCCCTCGGACAGAAAATCTCAAAGAATTTTTTTGGTGGTATAAAGAGAATAAAGGTTAGGGAATTTTAATATTCGAAAATTTAAGAAAAAAATTATGGGAGATCAATGAGAAAGTTTAAAGGATAGTAATGGAATATCACAGTTTAATTGGGGGCAATAACGTTGTTAATGGTAACCATGAGGGACAGTTGGGCGTCATTCACATTACATTGAACTCAAAGTATCGGATAGTTTCTTCTCAATCATGTATGCCACAAAGGATCTATTATTTTATCCACGACATTCATGTTTTTCATATAATGATACGATGTAAGCTTCAGTAGTTTGATACAGCGAAAACTATTCAGTAGGGAGTTTCGTCAGCATCGCTTATCTTCTCTGCTCAATATCACCAGAATATACGTTAGACTTCATTTTGAAATAATACTACTGCTACCGCTTTTGATGTTTGGATTTATGCGTGTTCGATTATTATTTATTATTGTTCCCTTGGGTTCCTAGTGGAACATAGGGCTTCAACTGCACGTCTCCACTTCTTTCTGTCTTCTCCTGTACTTTTCACCTGCATCCATGTTAGTCCATACACTGTTTCAACTTCAACTCTTCACACGATCTCCTCCATGTCACCCTTGCACTGACGTCCCACTCGTCGCTTCCCTTTCGGGTTCCACTCGAGCAATGGCCTGACGCGCGATGTCACCCAGTGGCCTCCTCCTCAGCGAGTGAGTATCCAATCCATCTCCACTTTCTGCTGCATATTTGTTGGGCGATTGGTTCTTGTTTTGTTTGTTCCCATAGTTTCTTGTTGGTGATTCTTTCTGGCCATCTGATCTTGAATATAGAACGAAGAGAGCTGTTGATAAAGGTTTGCAACCTGTTGGAAATATTCTTTGTGACCCGCCAAGTTTCTGATCTGTATAGAAGAACTGACTGACTTGACGTTTGTATTGAAAATCCGAATCATTTTGTTGTTGATGCTGAGTGACGAAGATTTCCAGATTGGTTTCAGGTTGATGAATGTGTTTCTCGCCTTCCCGATTCTCGATTTGACATCTTCATCCGTTCCTCCTGTAGTTGAGACAATGCTCCCTAGATAAGTGAATGAAGTAACTTCTTTCAAATCCCTCCCGTTGATGGTGATTGGCGCTGGATGTTGCTGCTGCTGTTGTTGTTGGTTGGTTATTTTCATAACCTCCGTCTTATCTATGTTCACCTGGAGTCCTGTCTTCTCTGGCTGCTTCTTCGACCAGTCGTGTTCGGTTAGTTAAACGTATATTATTTCCAAGTTGAGTTAATTAACTAGTTTAGTCGTGTGTTTTATATGCTTGGGAAACAATGAGTTGGGCATAGTTCCAAGGGTGATATATAGGAGATCGTCTCAGGAGGAGGTGACAGTTTATGGGCAGTTGTGTAGCCAGTGAAAGACGATTGCAGGGAATAGGATGAGATGGAGATTTATTTCTGTTGAAGCCGTTGAAGTTCCACTCGGAACCTCAGGCATTAATAGTAGTCCAACCAGTTAAGTGTGAGGATGGATATCCCACCGATGACATTGGTTGGTGGTCGCACTAAATATCACGAATTGGTAGAAGTTAGAATTCATGGACTGGCCATTGAGGAGTCGGGTCCCATTGGCTGATGAATGGTATACGAACCAGCTTGCCTTGTAACCGGAAGGTCCTAGGTCCGATGATTCCCAAACTTGGATGAAACAGCTGGCTGTCCAGTACTCCATGTGGCTGGTTTTCAATGGTTCTCTAACTGATATCAATCCGTAAAAACAAATCTAATCCTTACAGAGCAACTCTTTAAAATTATAATATGTGTATCAGCTTCTCCTACCTAAAGTAACATCTGCTCTTTTTCTGCGTGTTTATATCTTCTCAGGTTTTGTGTATTTCTTTACTTATCATTCTTAGGATCTACGTAAAATTTATGCATTAGCCTCAAAAACACTCAATTCTTATGGAAATCTACTAAAAACTTTACAAAAAGCTAATCTTCAACTATCGGAGAAATGTATTCACTTATCTACAAAAGATTATGCAAAAAATGGCAATAATACTGCTGACTGCCAACCACATTCTTGTAGACAATGTCATTTTATCACTCTGGTCCATGACGTGCTTAAAGGACCAAAACATTCTCATCGTTTCTTACTTGGTCAACTTCATGAATTCACTAAAGATCATTTGGCGGTGAAAAAGCTTCGTCATGCGTATAAACTGGTCGGCAAATCGCCTGTTGTACAGAATAAAAAACAGAAAAATGCAAAAGGTTTGTTATTCTTGATTATTAGTTTATTATTATTATTCTTTGGTAAATAATTTTGAGTGTGCTGGAGGAGAGATCTGATATTGTTCTGCAATATCGATCATTTTGGACTTAAACCAGACTCTTTTATCCTCGTCTATGGGTTGGAGGTCGGAAAGTTGATTGTATAATTACTCAAACTGCGTTTCTGTATGGATTCTGTTTATAAACGGGTTTGGTACGTGGTACGTGACACCGAATAATCTGTCTACCTACATCAAATTCTGGAATTATGTTCCTTATGCCTTCTATCTATAACTCAAAGTAATTATGAAAAGTACGTTCCACAACTTTCTTGAAACCTATAATTTGATTTTGTTTAGGATGTATGCAGTTGATGAGAATCCACGAAATAAAACGAGCTCGTATTACCCTGCAAACATGTTCGTTCTTTCTCTCTTCAAACTAATAAAGGGAACCGGTTGCATGAAATTTTTGAAACGACGTCTCCCTAGGAAATCAATCAAGTCACTGAATCAATTAGTGACGTTACGTTGCAGAATAGCGAGAGAATCCTGCAAGATTAAATTATACGAAGAGTGTCTAGAGATAGGCTGTTTTCCACGCCAATTTCTGAAACTCATCAGATCGACCAAACTACCTCCAACTTTAAAGAACCTGCGCCGCATCACTAAATCACATATCGACTCATCTCAGAGACACATCACCGCTTTAAGGTCAAATCTAGTGAAATTCGACAGTCTATTGGAAAGCCTTAATTTGGTGTGTCGTATAAAGTTCATTAACTTCATACAAGATTTACAGTCGCAAACAGCCAACTCATATGGAAAGAAGCTCAGAAAATCTTTAGTAGTTGAACAACTACAAGAAGAATTTCCACAGTGCCCAGAAAAATACATATACAATTTATCAGATGTGAAACTTAATAAAATTGAAACTGAAGCTCTGTCCTTAGGATTTAAGTACCACGTACCAAACCCGTTTATAAACAGAATCCATACAGAAACGCAGTTTGAGTATTTATACAGTCAACTTTCCGACCTCCAACCCATAGACGAGGATAAAAGAGTCTGGTTTAAGTCCGAAATGATCGATATTGTAGAACAATATCAGATCTCTCCTCAAGCACACTCAAAATTATTATTATTATTATTATAAGTCAATCTGAACGAAGAATATTCTTTTCAATAATTCCTCCCCTTCAGGTACCTACAATTATAAAATATAGTATTTGTTGTCGTTCCAATAATGGCCAGTTATGGGGTATCAAAATAAACTGTAGTATTTGTATGAAAAACGTGCTGGGCTGAAATCGATTACAAATTATGGTGAAATGCAAGACAATGGTGGTGATTAATCATAATAGATTTGTAGAGTATGGGATAGGAAAATTGACAAGTCAGTTCAAGGTTATAAAAGGTGTGAGGTGAGTGGAGTGGCTAGTACAAAGTGGTATGTATTAAAGAGGAGGTGATATTAAGACTGCAATGAGAGAAGTTCATAATGAAATAACGAATGTGTGAAATGAAGCAGCTGGAAGCATACATTGAGAAAAGAGATAATATCACTAATAATAAGTGCGGATAGTATAAATGGAAAATTCGATGGTATTGAGAGAATGTTTGCATGAAGGGTATAAATTATGACGAATAATAATAATAATTGTAGTAATTGGTTGGGGTCGCGCTAAATCACGAATTGGTAGAAGTTAGAATTCATGGACTGGCCATTGAATCGGATCTCAGTGGCTGAATGGCATACGAGCTTGCCTTGTGACCGGAAGGCTCTGGGTTCGAACCCCAGTGGTGGGTGTGTAGTGGCGATGATTCACAGACTAGGATGAAACAGCTGTCTGTCCAGTACTCCATGTGGTTGGTTTTCAATGGTTCTCTAACTGATATCATTCCGTGGTCAAACTCGTAAAAACAAAACTAACCCTTACAAACCAAACTAGAGAAAATAGTAATGATAATATTTGTAATAATAAGTAAAGGGAAAAAGGGACTAATCACCACCATTGTCTCCCATTTTACAATATTTTGTAATCGATTTCAGCCTAGCACGTTTGTCACACAAATACTAATATTTATTTTGACACCCATAACTAATAATCTGTTATTCTACGCTAAAAATGTATCCGCCGCATAACTGGCTATCATTACTGTAACGACAACAAATATTATATTTTATAATTGTAAGAACCTGAAGGGGAGAAATTATTGAAAAGAATATTCTTCGTTCAGACTGACTTTTAATTCATGATATGGGAATATTTCACACTATTAAATATTATTATAATTATTATGCTTTTTACAATTGCTGCCCAAGTCCTATTATTTTTTTATTCCTGTACGTTCCCAGTGGAAAATAGGGGGCTTCAAGCTACAGCTTTGAAGTTTCGGTAGCGGTGGTGTTTACTTTTACGGGATGGAGTTGCTAGACTCATGCTCAACCTTTCCTCTTTACCAGTCTTAATACTGGTTTAGCGAGGTAACGAAGTGGGTCGGCTGGGGTTCGAACCCCGAACCACATGTGGCTAAACCACCGACGCACCATTTGAAGATAAAGTGCACATAATTTCGCTACATAGCGATACGAAATTACAAATAAACATTCCTTTGCCAAGTCTCTTGTCTTCTACCGTTACACTATCACTGCACAATTGAATATGCTACAGTAAAGTGTCAACATATTATCAAGGTATTTTGATTGGCCACTAGTAACTAATTGCGACGTGTCTAGTCCTTTCTTTGGTGCAGACTGAATTCTACATCAGTCAGGTTTGCAATGTGGCCGTCATTCATTCTAGGTAGCTCGCCATCACCGTACACATTGATTCGATGATATTGGATGGTTGGGGACAATCGGCAGGAAGGAAGCCTTGCACCTAGGTTTCGTGCTAGTTGGCACTCACCAGTCAGTTAGCAAGGCGTATCTGCAACTACCTTGAAGGAACTCATGTCCCTCCAACTGTCTAATATCATCAAATCAATGTGCACGGTGATGGCGAGCTGCCTAGAATGATGGCCTCATTGCAAACCTGACTGATGTAGAATTCAGTCTGCACCAAAGAAAGGACTAGACACGTCTCACTTGTTACTAGTGTCCAATCAAAATGCTCACTACAGTCCTACAGGAGGTCAATCGTGAGCCTGAATAGCTAGCTCAGTGGTAACGTCTCTGACTGCAGTCGGCACTGAGTAATGCGGCTTCGAATCTCAGGAGGGACACGAGTTGTTCCTTCAAGGTTGCGGATAGATACGCCTTGCTGACTGGTGAGTGCCAACTAGCACGAAACCTAGGTCATGAAAGGCTTCCTGTGGTCGATTGCCTCCAACTATGAGATATCAAATATTATCAAGGTGCATTACTGTTTGTGATCAAAGTAGTAAAACTCTTAGGACGGGAAAACGCTTTTCTGTCTTCTTTTTGAATAATTTATCCATCGTGTATAAGATCGCCTGTGTTTTTCGTTTAAACAGGGTATGAGACAGTCATACTGTGAATAAGTGTCATTTACCGATCTTATCTTTATATTTCAGTATTGTTTAATTGTTAATTATCTTGTTTATGTGATAAATACATTTAGAATTGCTCCCATGCTATGCACGTGTCAATCTTTTAAAGACTACACTGTCTAGTGTTTTAAAACACCTGGTGAAATCGGGTTTCGATCATATAGAATATAGTCAATCGGATATTTCATACAGAAAGTAAGTGCAACGCTTTTTTTTTCTTTGTGACTATGTGTTTAAGCGTAGGGTTTTTATCTCGTTAGAGTATGTAGAGATGTGATGCATTGGATTTTATTGATATCATTATGATTCCCTTGGGTTCCTATTAGCTTAGTTAGCACAACACCGCTCCACTCTAGCCCCCTACAGTGTTGTTTATGTGGCTTTACGATTGTTTACGAGTTTTGATTTACTCGTCATATGATCTGCTCTGTCTGTCTGTCTTCAACATAGAACTTTGCATCGATGTGCAGCAGTTCAAGTCGCCACACTCCATGTAGCATACAAAGCAGTAGAAGAAGGTAGAAGAAATGCAAAATAGAGACAGTAGACAGGGACATGAAACAAAAGGAATAGTTATAACGAAGAACAATATAGTTTCATTGGAAATTTATAAGTCACAAAGAGTGGATATATCTGCGCCATTGAGAGCGATTTTGAGCCATATCATCGATTGTCTCCAGCCTCCATTGCTTTTTACCATCCCGAGAACCCCAACCAGCCAGTCAAGAAGTCTACACCTTCCTGCGTGGCTTAAACTAACTATTGTGGATTTGATTGATTGATGAAGCCGTGTTTAGGTTTGATCACCACTAGCTAACTCTTTTAACCAGAACCATCCTGTCAGCTAACATTGGTCGTCCAGGAAGGTGATGAGTAGGCATACGTAACACATCTCAATCGGCGTAACTTTACAACCTCGTCGATTGATTTCCCCTCCTTACCTAGCACTCAACGCCTAACGTCAATATTGCCCACCCTATTATACCACTACCTAACACGGGAGATAGAACGCAGACACCTATGATCAAAGACAGCTAGCTTTTTTATGTCTTCCATTCTCAATGGCCAGCATGTCTCACAGCCATAAAGGAGCACGGAGCAGACTGATGAGCAGTACACACGCCTTTTGGTCGATAGCCGGATATCACATCTACGCCAGAGACGGCGTAAACTAGCATATGCGAAACGAGCCTTCTGTATCCGTGCTGAGACTTCGTCAGCGATCAACCCGTTGGGGCAGATGGTACTTCCCAAATAAGTGAAGTGGTCAACGTGCTCTACCACTTCACTCCCTATTTCTAATCTAGGGGTCGGTGTAGTCCAATCCTATAACATCATCTTGCATTTGGCGGGAGCGAATCGCATGCCAAACATTCGTAGATTGCAACTCAAGGTGTTTAGAAGACTCCGAATTTCTTCGGCGTCTTCACCTAGAAGACAGGAGTATATCATCTGCATATTGTAAGTCAACGAGATTATTTCCTAGTGCTAACAAGTCAATCCCTGAGTATCTGAAGTGAGTTAAGGTAAAGTCCATTAGTACGATATCTATGATGAAATTGAACAGAAATGGGGATAGTGGGCATCCCTCGCTGTCGGACACCACTAGTTGTCACCAGTTTAGATGACAACTCACCGTAAGCTCTCACCTGGCTGACTGCATGAGTTCGAGTAGAGTGCCTTGACCAGTGCAATGTATTTTCTCGGCATTCCTTTTACAGCCAAGCATCGCCATTGGCTCTACGCTTTTGTTAACTGGGGTATGATCCTTGTCACCGTACATATTTCTATTTCGAATTCATCCACTATACAATTTTATCAAAATCATTTAGTTGATAAAGGTTGTTTCAACTAGTCTCACTACGAACGAATTGATGAAATCAAATTGAAGTTCTAAGTGTTCTGATAATTCATAAGTAGGAGTATACGAAACGAAATTCAAGTTCTATTGTGAATTGACTTCATTTAGGGAACCACTGAGACTCGAAAGTCGAACTTGTATGGGACTTTTCAGCTGTATGCACCCATCACGTTAAATGAAGGTCCTAAGTTCAATCTATGACAGGATCATGGCTGCGTACTGCTGAACAGTTCCAGCCGACGACAAAACATCTGCCCTCTACTCCCTTCATGGTTTCCAGTGGTTCTCTAACTGAAGTCAGTTCTTGATCCAACATGAAGTCAATCGAATCCTTGGAAACCGACACGCATTAAATCAAATTCATTGTTTGAAAATTACACAGTTGAAGGTGAGAATTCACTATACCATAGCAAGTAATCAAGAAGGCGATGGTATTTTACCAGAGATTGTTATGGATCTCTGGAAACCATTCACACTTATTCAATAGATCAAGGTGATATAAATACTGGATGACTGATTCGCATATTTGGAGTCGAGCCCATCGGCAGTGTACCTGCATAGAGAGAGATTCTTCTAAGATAGGCATCCAAGTTTTGTAGATTACTTCTACCTAGTTAATCAGTAAGTGGTTTTCAACTACTTATATCGATCAATCAGTAGTATATTACTATTGAGGTAAAAAGTTGAAGTGTAAACAATATTCGCTCTTGTATTTTACTTTATTATTAAATTTTTAAATGAGGAATAAGCATCCATGTCTCTGCTTTTTTCTGGTAAAACCAAAGCTATCACTTATACTTACTTATATATAAATTGATGATAGGTACAATTGACACTTAAATTACACTATTAAATGATCTATACTAATTTTGTGGACAATTTCCTCACATGATCTCCTTCATATCACCCTTGAAGCGATGCCTAACTCGTCGTTTCCGATTCAAGTTCCACTTGAGTGGTGATGGGGGGCGCAAACGTTAGTCAATGGTATTCTCAGTACAGGTCCAATCCATCTCCACTTCCTTCGGCATATATGTTGTGTAGTAAGTTATGGGTTAGTCCGTTGTCTGTCAGAGCTCCTTTCCTTCCAGTCATCTTAGCTTAAGTATCAAATGACCGGAAGCATTTGTTGATGAAGATCGGTTAATAACCTCTTAGAAGTGCTATTGATGACACACGTGCCAAGTCTCTGAACCATACAGAGGCAAAGATTTCAATTTGGTATTGAAGATCCCGATTTTGTTATCTGTGTTGAGTGAAGGAGTAGGTTTGGACGCTGATTTCAAAGAGACTTCTTTCCCTTATTTCTCTTCAAAGCTACGCCATCTATGACATAGTAGACGTGATATTTGGCTATCAACCAAAGGATATGTGTCCTGCTCAGCGGTTCTTTCCGTCCCCTATAAATGCTCTGGGACATAACCACTTACAGCAGAAGACATGAAAAGCCAGGTTTACTAGCTGTCTTTGATCATAGGTGCCTGCGTTCTATCTCTCGTGTGAAGTGGTATAATAAGGTGAGTAAAATTGGGGTTGGGCTTCTATCGAGTGCTAGGGAGGTGGGAGGGGAAATCAATCGACGAGGTTGTGAAGTTACACTGATTGAGAGAGATGGTTAGGATATGTGTTAAGTACGCTTAGACATTGCCTTCCTTGATGAGCAATGTTAACACACATAGGATTTATCAGTTTGGAAAAGTGTTAGGGGTGGTCAAACCAAAACATGGCTTCATTAGTCAATGAAATCCACAACAGTTAGTATAGGCCAGCCACTTAGGAAGGTGTAAACTGGCTTCCTGGTTGGGGTCTTCGGGACGGTAAGAACCAATGATGGCTGGAGACAATTGGTGATATGGCTGGAAATCGTTCTCAAAGGTTGGCGCAGATGCATTCACTCTTTGTGATTTATAATATCCAGTTAAGCTATATTGTCCTTCCATATTACTATTTTTTTTCTTTCCTACTTCTGTTTATTCTCTCTCTTTACTCTCTTTTCTTGCTTTGTGTGTTAAATGGAGGGAGAGTGGGAACTGGAACTGCTGCATATCTGTCCAAAATTGTACGTTGAGACCAGTCAGTCAAAGCTGTACAGTTACTTTAGGGGTTTATATGTGCTATGTAAATTGTAACAAATAGTCCGAGGTTACTGTCAGTTAGTCACAAAGATAAATAGCGATTTGTTAAAAATAACGAATCACCTTATGTTTTCCTATGCAGTTGTTGACTTATGATTTGATTGGTTTTAAGAGAGGTTTCATTATGGATTTACATTACTTGCACAACCATTCAAAATCCAGCACTAGGCATCTGGTTTTGTCCTGGTTTTGGACTCTTCAGGGGCAGACATTCAGAACCTCCAGGTTATATGGTGAGCGGTTTTTCATTCGGCCACTGATTAAGAGCACAATAAACTATGGATTCTATCTTCTGTCGATTCGAGATTCGTGATTAGCTCCAAAATCAACCAGTGTCACTGGTGAGTATCTGTCATACAGGAATTCTCGGGTCCCATTGGTCCCGATTTCTTACTAGAACTTGAAGGAATCCACCCCGTAGTCGATCACCAGTGAGCAGAAAATTGGGACTGTGGGGTAACTCAGTTTCCAGAAACAGGTTTTTTCATGTCCCAGACTATGAGCCACACTTATTGTGTGAGGGCTAATGATAGTATCTAGTTGCCCAAACTGAAGCAGGCGAAGCAGGACTCGAACCGAGAACTTACTGTCTGGAAGTCAAGTGCCTGAACCAATGTACCACGTCTCTACCGAAGATTGGGACAAATAAGACTGTCCAATACATCATAGTTTTAAATGGTTCTCTGTCAGATAGTCTTTTCATCTTATTGAATATATTTATTGATTTTTTTTTGAATGTCATTTATATTGATAAAGCTATGTTTACACTGATTGGTCACTAGGGAAGTTACTAATATTATTTAACTAATCCTTAATGCTGACTGAATGCTACCTGTCACTCATCCAACATCAAGTCACAGTGCACCGTGATGATGAGTTATGTGGGTTTTTGCACACATTTCAAACTTAAATGATATATATACACTAGTGATAACATTGATTATTTCCCAGTGACCAATCAATGGGACCATTACAATCCTACAGGAGTTAAGTAACAAGTCCTTAGTGCTCATTGGTTATGTCTGACTGCAGCACTAAGTGACGTGGATTCGATCCCATCGTTGGAGTACATTATTCCCTTCGACAAGGGTCAATAAGCGCGACATTCAGTCATACGGCTTCTTTTCTTGACTACCTTCAATCACCCATCCAATATCAAACTTTTATTGAATTTGTAATTATTATTTTTAAATGCTCACATTATTGATGTGCTTTTTTTCTTTCTTTGTTTGGTTTTACTCATAGATTTCGTAAATATGTTCGTCGACTTAAACCTAATCAATTTATGCTGGATTATCATCTTCCGCATATACTGCTAGTCTTCCCATCTGGTACTTCACTGCATGAATTGGAATTATACAAATCGCATTGTATTCTTATTCAAGATAAGGTGAGTTGTTGTTTTGTAAAATTCTAGAAGTATACATACAAATTAAGAGTATGCAGTGAGTATTGTTTAATTCACCTGCGACACCTGAATCCAGAGGAGTAAACAGCTGATGAGATCGACCCCAAACAATAATGCTTAGATAGATCCCTTCGATCTGGTTAGCTAGCAAGCACTATCACGGTGTGACTTGGGTGGTTTACAACTACTTAAAACAACTAATCAGTAATATATAATATAGGGTAATGGTTACTTGGAAATACAGAAATAAAGTCCACTTCTACAAATTAATAAAATTAACTGCTGAGTTGTGTTCACTGACAGAAGTTGTCCAACGGTTGTTGAAGAGTCTTTGGATGAAGACAAAGATCAGGTGTTCCTGTAAGTTCCAAAGAATACAACATTGGGGATTAGCGGAGCAAGTAAACAGACAGTATATATATAAAGTTGTGTACAATGTGTCCATGTGTAACATTTGACAAAAATTTATCTTTCAGGACTCCCACACGACTCATCATCTTAGAGGTCTGGAGAAACTACCGGAAACTGTCACTGATATTCATAAAAATAATAATGATAATAATAATAACAACCTTAATGATAACAAGAATAATAGTAATTCATAGTAGTGTGGCATGTGCTACTGACGGATGCGAAACTTGCAGAATAATGACAATTGAATAAGTCTTGACGATCACAAAGAGTGAATGCATCACTCTGCCTCACTGAGAACTATTTTGAGCCATGTCACCATTGATTCAAAGCCATTGGTTCTTCGAGTCTTGAAGAACCCAAACCAACCAATCTGCTCCTCCCTACATGGATGGCTCAAACCAACAGTTTAAGAATTGGTTACAGGATTTCATCATGAGCTGACATTAGTTAGAGAACCACCTGAAAACCTGGGAGTACTAGACAACTGTTTCGTCATAGTTTGGAACTCTTCATTAGTACGCACCCACTGGGATTCGAACCCAGGACCTTCTGGTTACAAGGCGAGCTCGTAGACCATTGAGCCACTGGGACCCGATCCAATGGTCAGCCCATGAATTCTAACTTCTGCCAATTCACGATATAGCACAACCGCTAGCCAATGTCTTCGGCGAGTATTTGTCCTCACACCCGACCTGCTGCACCCTACTGGTCACTGTTTTAAGAATTCATGAGGCGTTGACAGGTTTCAATTTGATCATATCAAATTCTTTTCCATGTGTTAACACGTGTCCTAGCCATCTCAATCGATATAACTTCACAGCTTCATCGAACGAATCTCCTTCTCTACCTGACATTTTACTCCTAACCTCGATATATTTTAATCACGTTTTATTTTGTATCCCATTCATTGATTCACTCAACTTTATGCTTGTTGAAAGCGTATCTTTAAGAGTTATATCATTTTCCTAACGCCTTTTTTCTCTTTCTCTCGCTCTCTCTCTCATTCAAAGGCTAGTTGTTTCAGTGCAGAGATACTTCAACCAAATCCTGAAGCAGATGTTATCGATGCTTGTGCTGCTCCAGGGAATAAAACACTTCAATTAGTCTCAATGTTATCTAATCAGGCGACAATTTTCGCTATTGATCGTGATCCAAACAGGTTAGTTGTGTGGATTTCTTCCCCCCACCACCCTCTACAGTGTATTAACCTATCCTAATACTTTCATAATAAACTTTATCTAGCGACTGACTGAATGCCTCTCAAAAATGTGAACTTGTTTTATTCAATACTGCAATTAGAGATCTAGAAATCTACTATTTCCTGCCGGTTGTCTCTAAAACTTTTTTTTCATTCCTTTACGTTCTTAGTGGAACATAGGAGGCTTTCAAGTTGGAGGCTTGAAGTTTCGGTTGCAGTAGTGTTTATTTTTACGGTCGGGGGGTGGGTGGGTTGCTAGCCTCATCTAGCCCAACCTTCCCTCTTTACCAGTCTTATTACTGGCTTAGCGAGGTAAAGGAGTGCGTCCAGTGGCCGTGGATCGAACCCCGAAGCACATGCGACGTGATCGGCGAGCATTTTACCACTGTGCCACCGACGCATCTAATGTGTGTACTGACATGGATACTAAGAATCTGTGTGGAGTAGTGAACACTGTTTTGTTTTGATTTATTTATGAATTTCTGTTGAATTGAAAGTGTGCAAAATGTGGTATGTTACCCCAATATCCATGCAGGTGGTAGTGAGCCACACAATTATTGTGCGTGAAGGCTAGTGGCTCTACCTGACTGCTGATTGACTGGTTTCAACATAGGACTTTTAGCAACAGCTGGCTTCTTTGGCTTCATACTGAAGATCAAATGACCAGCCGGCCGGCCGGTCGGCCAGAATGAATTAGCAAGAAGGAACTCTGACTGGCAACAAACCAACAAGCAAGAGCCGATCGCTCAACAAATATGCAGGAGAAAACGGAGATGGATCGAGCATACGATGAGGATGTCGTCGAATGACATCAGGCGTAGTTCAGGCCATTGCTCGAGTGGAATCTGAATTGGAAGCGACGAGTGGGTCGTCAGCGCTAGGTTGACATAGAAGTGATAAGAGATCATGGGTAATCGTCAACCCAGCTGAAGAGGACGGCAGAAAATAGAAGTGGAGATGTGCTGTTGACGCCGTATGTTCCACTCGGAATTCAAGGGAGTAATCATAATAATAAATATAATGCTACAAACTAGTGATAGATATAAGTAGTTGAAATCTTTCATGTAACTGCTAGCCATTATTGAAATGATGTAAACGGTTGGACCGATATCATCTGCTTTGTACTAGCTAATAAGGTAGATGTATTCCGCTTCCTGAAGTGAGGCTATCGGTATATTACTACTGGTGAACCTAGCCTCACTGTCTAGACTACTTCTACTTTTTGACATGATGGGGGTCTTCAACCATTCAAATCAATCGTAAGTATCTAGCAGCATGCCATTTTGCTTACTATTATTATTATTATTGTTCCCTTGGGTTCCTAGTGGAACATAGGGCTTCAACTGCACGTCTCCACTTGCTTCTGTCTTGTGCTGTACTTTTCACTTGCGTCCATGTTATTCCATATTGTTTCACTTCCTCTTCACACGATCTCCTCCATATCACCCTTGGACGTCCCACTCGCCGCTTCCCTTTCGGGTTCCACTCGAGGGCCTGACGCGCGATGTCATTTTGCTTACTATGCCATTCATATTGTATCTGGTAGGTGAAATACTGTTATCTGAAAATGTTTAGTTTCAGATGGAAACAGGAATGAATTGCAACTGCAAACGGCATAATTTGTGAGTAACCAATTCGATTCCAGATCTTATTTAACTGTTCACCTTTCTTATCTAGTCAAAATTAATGGGAGGCTTGCTAGTGACTGGCTGCAGGAAAAAGTTGCCTATGGGGTCCACCTGCTCGGGAGTGAGGAGAAATACTGACCGGTGATATTGTCTGGTGGTCGCGCTAAAATCATGAATCGGTAGAAGTTAGAATTCATGGGTTGGCCATTGAGGAGTTGGGCCTCAGTTGCCGAATGATCTACTAAGATCCCTTGCAACTGGAAGTTCTTGGGTTCGAACCGTGGTAATTGGCGCGCACTTATGAAGAGTCCCAAGCAAGGACGAAGCAGCTCTCTGTCCAGTACTCCTTGCTGGTTTTTAATAGTCCTCTAACTGATGTCATAATCCGTGGTTAGACTTGAAACATCAAATCCTTGCAAACTATCTCTTGAAATATATATTTATGTAGTTTGGTTTTTTCGTGCTGTAATTCCTGGTTTCTTTTGGATCTCGTGTTTGAAGCGATAGGTGGGCTCGGATCAAAGTCTCAGTGAGAATACAACCACTTACAGTGTTGAGTCTGAATTGAGATGAAACACGTAATCCAGATTCAATGGTTAGCCAGTACCAACCAATTACCGTTACACATTTTCATTTGATATTTGATCAATACTATTTCTAAAATATCTTATTGGCGTGTAAAAAGGGATATGATATCTTTCGTCAGAAATTAGCATCGGTTAGAGAATTATTAAAAACCATGAAACACTGGACAGTCAGCTGTTTCATCCTAGTTTGATGCTCTTTATTAGTGCGCAGTCATCACCACCAATCCTGTCGGAACCCGTCAGGTTACGATAATGCCAAGCTCGTTGTTGAACTGGCATTCAACCACTTGGGTTGGAATTGAATACCCCATGAATTCTAACTTTTATCAATGCCTCGTATCTGTCTGTCTGTCTGTTTTCGACATAGAACTTTGCACCGAAGTGCGGCAGTTCAAGTCGCCACACTCCCTCCATGTACCACACAAAGCAAGAGAAGAAGAAAGTAGGAGAAATGCATATTAGAGACAGTAAACAGAGGTGTGAGACAAAGGAATAGTAATAACGAAGAACAAAACAGTTTCATTGGAAATCATGAGTCACAAGGGGAGCGGATGCATCTGCGCCACTGAGAACGATGTTGAGCCATATCACCAATTGTTTCCAACCATTGGTTTTTACCGTCCCGAGGACCCCAACCAGGAAGCCAATCTACATCTTCCTACGTGACTTAAACTAACTGTTGTAGACTTCCTTGACTGGTGCCATGTTTTCGTTTGACTGCCGCTAGCTCTTTTCCAGCCTCACCCTATGTCAGCTAACATTGCCCGTCGAGAAAGGTGATGACTAGACATACGTAACACATGTCCTAACCATCTCAGTCGATGTAATTTCACAGCCTCGTCGATTGATTTCCCCTCCCAACCAGCTAGCACTCGAAGCCTAACCTCAATATTGCTCACTCTATTATACCACTTCACACAGGAGATAGAACGCAGACACCTATGATCAAAGACAGATAGCTAGCCTGGCTTTTCATGTCTTCCACTCTCAATGGCCAGGTCTCGCTCACAGCCACTAAGGAGGACGGAGCCGACTGCGGAGCAGTATACCTCATATAGGTAGCGCTACCTTCAACTGATGCCATCGATAAGCATCTTCACTTCATTGTGACACATGGTGGACCTCACTGATGACGACTGATCTGTACAGCTTTCGGACGCTTGTCTATTTACTATCATTCAATCAGCTGGAGATTGATTGATATTTAGATCTCTGACTGATTTTGATTCTACATCCATGTCCCTACAAAAACCTGTGATTTCAAAGTGTGATATCTGTCAAAACGTCCTTAGCCACGTCGAGAGGTGTAGACGTCCTAACTGGTTGGGGTCCTCAGGAAGGTAAAAACCAATGACGGCTGGAGACGATTATCGGTGATATGGCTGAAAATCGTTATCAGTGGCTGACACAGATGCATTCACTCCTTGTGATTTATAATATCCAATAAAATTCTATTCTTCTTCCATATTACTATTCTGTTTGCTTCATATCTCTGTTTACTGTCTGTATTTTGCATTCCTTTCTACTTACTTCTCTTGATTTGTGTGTTACATGGAGGGAGACTGACATCTCGAACTGCCGGACATCTGTGCAGAGTTGGATGTTGAAACCAGTCAGTCAGTCAATCAGTCCTTAGAATTTCTCAATTCTATCGAAATATCAGTTTTTTCTGTCCACTTAGCGTTCGTGTACCTCCAGATTGTAATAATAATAATAACAGTGGGTTTGTTTCAAACAGTACTGTCGATACAGTTTGCAAATTTTAGCATGTTATAGAGGCATTGAATCTAATTTCCTCTTGACACACAATGATGAGGGGAATAACAAAAAATGATAATCATTACAGAGGCTAAATGATGTTTACACTTATGAAAAAAACAAACATAAAAGGATGAGAGGACTATAAATATAAGAGGAATAATAATAACAGTAAAGCTTGGTGGAATGAGGATGGAGAAAATGCTTTATTTACTCGTGCAAAGAAGGTTAGTCAGTTAGTTCGTGCGTGACACTATTTTATCATATAAAATACGTGCCAAATATGGTATTATGGAATTTTTATGCTTAAACGTGCGTGCATAAAGTCTTTTGGAATGACTTCTTGTTTAACCTGAGGAAACACAAAGTGAAAGTTGCCGGTATAGTGGATGCCAACGGTCTGAAAAAGTCCCTTTAGCAAAATTGTTGAATGAAATCAAAAGCCTATCAATGACAATGTGAACGATATGGCCCAATGGGATATATCATATTTTCACTCTCCGATAGATCCTGGAACATAGACACACTTTTAGGCGTCTAACAATTGCCATATTTCTTGACTTGAAGGCGGCCTTCGACTCCGTGGATCGAAAGGTACTATGGCAATGTTTGACTGTGAAGGGAATGCCAAGAAAGTACATTGCACTAATCAAGGCACTCTACTCAAACTCATGTAGCCGTGTAAGGGCTTATGGGGAATTGTCATCTGGATTGTTAACAACCAGTGGTGTCCTTCAAGGATGTCCACTTTCCCCATTCCTGTTTAACTTCATCATAGATATGCTAATGGAAGTATCCGTAACTGAACTCAACGACTTAGGAATCGACTTGTTACCAGGGTATAGTCATATGGACTTAGAATATGCAGATGACATAGTTCTGTTGGGGGAGGATGCTGAAAAAATACAGAGGTTTCTGAACACCTTGAGCAGCAATCTTTGTATGTTTGGCATGCGATTCGCCCCTGTAAAATGTGGGATGCTGCTACAGGACTGGACTACGTCAACTCCTAGCTTAGTGATAGGGAGTGAAGTGATAGAACATGTTGTCCACTTCACCTATTTGGGAAGTTGTATCAGCACCAACGGATTGATTGGTGACGAAATCACAGCACGGATCCAGAAAGCTAGGGCTGCTTTCGCTAACTTACACCATCTCTGGCGTAGGCGTGACATCCGACTGTCAACCAAGGGACGTGTGTACTGCTCAGTAGTTCGCTCCGTCCTTCTCTATGGCTCTGAAACATGACCAATACGGGTTGGAGACATGAAAAGGTTGACTGTTTTTGATCATTGATGTCTACGATCTCTTTCTCACGTTAGGTGATATAATAAGGTAAGTAATGTTGACGTTAGGCGTGGAGTGTTGGGCAAAGAGGGAAAATCAATCGACGAGGCTATAAAGTTACATAGATTGAGATGGCTAGGTCACGTGCTGCGCATGCCTAACCATCGCCTCCCCCGACGGGCATTACTAGCTGATATAGGTAGGTGCAGGTTGGAAAAGAGTAAGTGGTGGCCAAACAAAAACATGGCCTCATCAATCCATGAAATCCTTGACAGTTAGTTAAACTGAGTCAGGTAGGGAGATGCAGACTTCCGGGTTGGGGCCCACCCTCAGGACTCTAAGAATCAATGAAGGCTGGAGACAATAGGTGACATGGCTCAAAATCGTTGTCAATGGCTTACGCAGATGTATTCAGTCTCTTGTGTAATCTTTCATATTCCTTTCTACCATTACTCATTCTGTTTCACTCTTATACCTGTCAAAACTCTATTGATTCTCTTCACTCATTTTCTTGTCTACCTTTGTGTGGTATTTGGAACGTGGCAACTGGAACTGCTGCACTTCGGTGCCAAGTTCTATATTGAACCCAGACAGACAGACAATGGGATACAACCATTCACCCTACTGACAGTATTCACAGTCCTTTCTAACTATGACACAGTCTTTTTTAAGCAACCCAGGAGGGATAAGGGTGAACAATAAAGAAGAATAGATAAGATGAAAGAGTTGACAAACTGTAACGGGAGGAAGGGTTGGCTGAGTTATGCCTGAGTGTCTTAACTTCTTGATGCAAAATGTCAGACCGAATATTTTCCTGGGTTTCATCTGCGTATTTCTCATTCATGTAATTCGAATTCCATATTAGTTTTTTTATTAGATGTCTCACACAGTGACTGAAACTGGATTATTTACTGGATGACAAAGTTTCGAACACAATTCATCACTGTTTATAATTATATCAGTTTTAATCACGCAACTTCGAAACTTTCGTTTTATAGTTTTTTTTATTCTTTACTATTCGTCGTCCTGGTGTGGTAGAACTTTCTAGATGTTCGCTTGGACACATCGTATTTTTTTGTTACAATTATGGAATTTTCAGCATATGATATCAGTAGCCCAAATTTAGCAGGTTGACCATTGATATCAGGTGTGCGTCGGCAGGGGATCAAACCCCGGACCATGTGCATGGTCGGCGAGAGTCCTAACCTCTGTGCCACCGACGCACTATTCCTACTTTATTTCCCAACAAAATAACATTCCTTTTAGTCCTTGGAGATTTTGTCTTGTCAATACGTTGATTCGACCAATAAAGCTCCCATTATCAATCTCTCCCTCCACCGTGTTTCATGAGATTTTAAAACTACCATCGTATCCAATCCTGTTGTATGGTTTTGTGTAATTGCATTTAGTGAGTGCTATAGCTCAACTATTGTCCAGATTTCTTATTTTATTAGATTCAACTAATCTAGATTTAATTGGTTGGAGGGTTTTCATCATGATCTGACATCAGTTAGAGATCCATTGGAAAACTACCTAGGAGTAGTGGACAGCCAACCGACTCTTCAGTAGTACTCACTCACTAGGGTTCGAACTCACAACCTTCTGGTTACAAGGCTAGCGAGCTCGTGGACTATTAAGCCACTGAGACATTGCAAAGTGGTTGCGCTATGTCATGAATTAGCAGAAGTTAGAATTCATGGACTGGTCATGGGATCGGGTCCCAGTGGCTTAATGGTCTGCGAGCTTGCCTTGCAACCAGAAGGTCAGCTCATGATGAAATCTTTCAGAGAATCAAACAAAATCCCTACAAAACAAATACTTGAAAATCAATCTAGATTTAGCTGCTAAGTTTTTGTACTCCGCTAGTGTGACTGTCCCCGTCCTACTAATTTGACCTATGTATTTGACCTGGTAATCATTGTAGACAGGGTACTAGATAAACTAAATTATTTTGTTTAATTGGCTCCACAGGATTGATCCTATAACTGACAAAGCTTGTCTCGAATTGACTTTGTGAGTTTGAATGCCAACCACTTTTATTCCTGCCAGAATTGTTAAGAATTCTCCACAAGGTGGTTTCCGAGGTTCCTTCTTTGTATGAAAGGAAGTACTACTGATGATTTATATTCATTTATTAGAGTTCATGATTTTATCTTATAATTTTTTTTTTTAATTATAGATTTCGTCGCCTTTCAGATAATCTTACTTCTTGTGGAGTAGATCGTTTATCTGTAGTGGATGATATGTTCTCTTCAACTACAACTGAACATCAAAATAATACTCAAAGTTCACAACCATCTGTTCAAGCTTATCTTGCAGATTTTCTTTCTCTCGATCCGTATGATCCACAATTTTCAAATGTTCAATCTATTCTCCTTGACCCGTCATGTAGTGGATCTGGTCTATCATTTCGTCAACCGGATGGTCAATATTCTGAAGAATTGCAGAACCGTAAACCAACTGGTTGTAATGATGATGATGTCTATAATGAAGAATATTCATCTCGGTTGAAACGATTGTCTAATCTTCAAGCTTTACTATTAAAACATGCTTTGAATTTCCCGAATGTTCAACGTGTGGTCTATTCAACGTGTTCAGTTCATCCAGAAGTTAGTTTGGTTTATGTTATAGTGTCTTAGTTTATTTTGTCATAGTAATGCTGTGACTTGGCGAGTCATAAAGAGCATCTTAAACAAACTACAGACCTTCATTAACAGTTGTCTTCGCTCAATACTCAAGATCAGCAACAGGGATCTCTGGGAGCGAACCAACCAGGAACCGATTGTGAAACAAATAGGCAGGAATAAAATGGAAATGGAATGGAGGTCGTACTCTGAGGAAACCATCAAGTGACATCACTAGACAAGCCATTCTTCGAGTGGAACCCGGCCGAAAGGGAAGCGGTGAGTTGGTCGTCAGTGCAAGGGTGACTTGGAGCAGGTCATGTGAAGAGGAGATAAAGGCGTGTGGGCAGACTTGGAGCCAGGTGAAAACCCTAGCAGAGAACCGAACGCAATGGAGACGCACGGCTGAAGCCCTATGTTCCTCTAGGAATTAAAAGAAATAATAGTAATATAAATAATAATACTGTGACTACTTTGTGTGTGTATGTGTGTGTGTGCAACTGTGTGTTGTCCCTTTTCATTTAACCTATAATATACACTTAGCGTAATGTGAGACCAATAAAGCATGTGTTATACACGTACACACTACTACTGTAGCGACAAAAGACAAGGGCAAGACAACAGATCGTTTATTGAGAAAATCAACAGATATTTATAGATTTTTATGTACATTATTATTAACGTTATTGTTAGCGGAGAAGCAACGTCTTCTGATTGGTTGTTTTCTTACTGAAGGTTATTCTGTACTGCTTGTGACCGTTTCTTAGAAAGTTAAGCCATATATCTGCAAATCGTATTTGCACACGTTAAGTCTGCTGTGATTGGTTGTTTGGTTCCTCAAGGTTAGGCCTTGTCAGTGCCCTTTCTCGTGACCCCCAATCGGGACGTAAACATTGACGTCAATTTTTGTCTACAATTTTTGCTAGCAGACAACTCTCACCACACTACTACTGCCGTAGTTTCCTTTTCGAATTCGGGGACACGATAGTCTTTATCGCTAAAATTTTCTTAGTTAGAGGTTCCTACTTTGTTTCGCAACAAAGTAGTATTCCTTTTGGTTCTCTGAGATTTTGTCTTGTCAATACGTGATCTAAACGTTTTGTAATACCTCCTCAAACTGTTTCGACATGTTTCATATAGGCACTTTCACATTCTTCAAGTTTTTTAGTAACAACATTATTTGTCGTCTGTATGTAAAGGGTGCATTCGCCAGTCCAAACGGCATGCGTTTAAACCGATATTGTTTCTGACCCACGATGAACACTGTCTTATCTCTGTCTCCTAGTTTTATCTGTATCTAGCAGTATCCTGACGGGAGGTCTAGAACTATAGACGAATGCACATTCTGTAGGCGATCGAGGGTTTCTGCTACAGTTTTTTATGCTGTTTAGCTGTCGGGAGTCAACACAGGATCTGTACTTCTTATTTTCTTTTTTTACTAAAAGAACTAAAGGGCTATATGGGCTGTCAGCTTCTTCAATAATGTCATCTTTTAACATCTCCTTCACTTTTTACTGAATTTCTCCTTCCGAATGAAATAGTACTCTTCGTGTTGTGAATGGTGTCATTTTCCGACCCGTGACTGGGGTTTCATGCCCGACCTTATCACAATAACTGTAAGAGTCTTCATCTGCAGTGAATAGGTGATCCTATTCTCTAACTAACATTGTTATATTCTGTACTTTCGATACCTCCATCCCTGCTATCGCGCTATTCTCATACGAGATAATACAAAAGTACTTTGTGATCACTTCTATTTTCTTCATGTTAATTACTGCACTAGACTCTCACAGAAAATCAGCTCCAAGTATTGTCTGCCGTAGCTGAAGCACAACAATGAATGGAAAAGTTACTTTGTGTTCCCCAATGTGAACTCTGCAGTTTGACATGAATCCTTTGGTTTTTAACACGTGTCCACCTACTGTTTGAACTGTGACTGAACATGGTTTAACACTCTGACACAGATTCTTACCTGTTAACGAGACTGCTGCCCTGTCAGTCGCGAGCCTGAATAGCTTAGTGGTAACGTCTCTCTGACTGCAGCACTGGCTGGTAACGCGGGTTCGATTCTCAGAAGGGACATGAGTTCCTTCGAGGTTGCAGACACGCCCTGCTAATGAGCGTCAACTAGCACGAAACCTAGGTCGAAGGCTTACTGTGGCTGATTACCTTCAACCATCTAATACCAACAATTGACAGTGCACCGTGATGGCAAGCCACCTAGTGCCATGGTGACCACATTGCAAATTTGACTTATAGAATTCAGTCAGCACCAAAGGTAGGACTAGACACACACATTACACTAGTTACTGGCTAGTGTCCAATCAGAAATGCCGTACGACTTCTGTGCCATCCATGCGCAACTTAAAATATGTGGCTCTCCTCTCAGTTGCCCCACTACTTCTAGTATTACTAGATAGAAAGAGCACACATTGTGCTGTCTGAATGTTTTCCTTTTCTGTCTCTCTGGGCAGTACTTCCTCCAGTGTCTTGGTTTACCACATGCAAAGTGTTGTTATCTTCTGGTGCCGATTCACATAGCACTGTTAATTTGCTTTGCAAATCTTCAATTTTCTGTTCCCAGGGAATCTTTTGCGGTTTTAACCAGTTGTAATGGCTGAGAAATGTGTTCTGGAACACTTTCAATAAACTGGGAAGCCAACAACTGCGTGTCTGACTCTTTATCAGGTGTGGAAAGTGCGCAACGAAGTAGACTTACCAGTCTCACCGCCAATACCAGTGGGTGTCTGTACGTTCCCAGCTTCGTGGCACGGAACTTCTGCATTGCTCGCTGTCTGTCCGTCGGGCTGTAGAATTCCGTCACCAATCGTTCTAACAATAACTTCCAGGTCTCCTTACCACTTGCCCTTTCCACATTGTCGTACGCTGGCTTTTCCGACCTTTTAGCAGCGTCCACGGTGCCATCATCTTCACCATCGAATCCTGGACTCCCACCAACTCCGCGATGGTGTCGAATTCCCGCTAAACACTCCGTATTTGTCCATCTTAGAACGCAGCTCGCTATTACCCGCAGATAGGGACATTAAATATGACGACAGGACACAAGGGTATTTGGCGACGGAATTGCTTATTGTTAACTCGATGTACAGATATGGGCGAAATACGTCTACCATATATATGAAATTCACAATTAGGGTATGCCTTCCCTACTGAGCTTCTTTGTCTTCCTTGTCATATTTTCCATGTTGTTTCACAAGCATCTTGACCATTAAATCCTCTCTCTCCGCTATTCGATATCCTTGCAGATGACATACAAATATTTTTATCTATATCTATACACTACTTATAAATCTTGTTAATTACACGCGCCACACCACACCTTCAAGGCTTTATATAATTTTTAGGTTGACTTAGAGTGAATTTTGAGAACTACCCCCTATGACTTACATTCCCTACTTTAGTATTCGTCATATTAATAATTTTATACCATACGCATACTTTGGAGTCTGTAGGGATTTCGACTAATTTCATTGGTGATGTGGCACACACGCTTGCTGCCTACTATCTACAATGACTTTTCTGATTGCAGCAGACTGGATAATGCGACAGGCAGCGGACGGACATCGAGGAGACAGGCATAAAGTGGACTCACACAAAAAACTTGGAGGATCTGAACTTCGCCGATGATATATTTCTGATTTCTCACAAACTGGAAGATATGTAAGTGAAAAGCAACAAGTTGGTAGAAGAAGCATCCAGAAAAGATAAGCCTTCAAACGATCATAGAGAGAACAGAGGGGATAAAGATTCCTGGCCAACAGCCACAGCAACAATCAGCATAAACGGAAGAAATCTGAAAGAAGCAACCTCCTTTATCCACCGACCTGGGAAGCATCGTTTCAGCTACAGGCGGAACTGACGAGGATATCACCAAAGCGAGGATCCGGAAAGCAAGTCTGTGTAGAGATCAACACTCAGCACTCAGTATGAAAAATAAGATCCGGATTTTCAACTCCAATGTGAAGTCCCTGCTACTCTACACGGATCAGAGACGTGCACTGCGCGTTACGAAGGGCACTTCGAACAAACTACACACCTCCATCAACACACATCTTCGCTCAAAACTACTCAAGATCAGATGGCCAGCCAGATAAAATCAGCAACGGTGGTCTCTGACAATGAATGAACCATCACAACAGGAATAAATTGTGCAACAAATCTGCAGGATGAAATGGAGATGGATTGGCCATACTCTGAGAAAACAAACCATCAAGTGACATGAATTGACCAGTTCTCGAGTGAAACTCGAATGGGAGGCGGTGATTTGGTCATCAGTGCGAGGATGCCATATAGTAGAGGAGGTCATTCGAAGAGGAGATAAAAGGGTGCGGGCACACGTGGAGCCAGGTAAAAACGTTAGCAGAGAACCGAATGCAATGGAGACGTGCCGCTGAAGGCCTATTTTGAGCTGGGAACTAAGGGAGATATTTATAATAATAATAAAGTTTTGTTTCAAATTCGTGATTTACCAGGATTCGGGTGGTTTAACATGCTTCAGAGTTTGAAACTGAGTTATACCGGTCACATCACTGACAAACTAAAAGCTAAGTAAAAGAAACGGTTATCCGTTGTTTAGATGACTTCCATAATGGCTAGTTGGCAAGCACTGCTGTTTGACGTGATTGGATTCTAACTACTCATTTCAACCAATCAGTAGTATATGCTACCAACATGCAAAGTTTTTTTGTAAAAATATGTCATCATATTATTTGTTGTTGTTTATATAGGAGAATGAAGCAGTTGTACGTGAAAATGCTGATCGAGTATCTGACAAATTTTATTTAGAAACAATTTGGCCTAACACATCATCCAATGTTTCGTCAGATAGTGTTACTGTTACTACTACTTCTCCAGCTTGGAAACGTCGTGGCCTTTCTGACAAAAAATATCAATGTGAATCGTGTATACGATCGTCTGAGGAAGATTTAACAACTGGATTCTTTGTTGCCTTATTTGTAAGGCGAAAGATCGATAAGCCTTTGAAAAAAGGTTCATCCTCACAGTCGCTAACAGCATCACCATCAACGACAACAACAACAACGAAAACCCGGACAGTCAAAAGAACTCCTGTAAACTGTCAGTCATCCTTCACTACTGCTGATGAAAATAATAGTAATAATGATGACAACAAGGCAGAAAAAGAACAGAAGTCTATTGATGATAAGAAGGAGGAGACGTTTACATTTAAAGTGAGAAAAAAGTGTAGAAAAATACAGGACTGATCTTATATAACGCCATATTCTGTACATATTTTCATACATATTTTCATACATATATGTATATATATAATCACTAAATACAGCATTTCCGACAATGAATATAGGGTCTTCTCACTTATTGAGGTATCTTTCTGTGTGTGTATGTATTTATGTGTGTGTTTGCCTTCTTATCCAAACTCTATGCAAGTTTATGCTTGATCAAAAAGCAAACTCGAATTCCCTGGTCAATTCCCTGGACAAATACTCGCCGAAGACATTGGCTAGCGGTTGCGCTATATCGTGAATTGGTAGAAGTTAGAATTCATGGGCCGGCCATTGGATTGAGTCCCAGTGGCTTAATGGTCTGCGATCTTGCTAGCCTTGTAACTTAAAGGTCCTGGGTTCGAGCCTCAGTGGTGGGTGCGTGCTGATGAAGAGTCCCAAACTCGACTGATGAAACAGCCGGCCGTCCAGTACTCCCTGCAGATCTTCCAATGGTTCTCTACCTGATGTTAGTTCATGATGAAATCTTGAAACAGTAGTATTCGACAGCCGGATCGAAGTGATTTAAAAACACTGGGGTTAGTGTTTTGCTCACATAAGGTAAACCTTATTAGTTGTGTAGGCAATTTAGTCTAGCTGAGAGATCGGAATCAGTGCTTCTGCATGCTTCAGAGATTCTCCGCATCACGGAAAGCGTCTCCAACAGGCTTGGCTGGGAGACCTGGCCATTGAAAGTGGAAGACGTGAGGTCTGGCTAGCTAGCTGTCTTTGATGATAGATGCCTGCGTTCTATCTTTCTTGTGAAGTGGTATAATAAGGTGAGCAATATTGAGGTTAGGTTTCGGTCAAGTGCTAGGTAGGTAGGTGGGAGGGGAATTCAATAGACGAAGCTGTGAAGTTACATTGACTGAGATGGTTAAGACATGTGTTACGCATGCCTAGCCATCGCCTCCCTCGACGGCGGGCAATGTTAGCTGACATAGGATGGATCAGGCTAGAAAAAGCTAGTGGTTAGTGGTCACACCAAAACATGTCATCATCGGTCAATGAAATCCACAACAGTGAGTTTAGGCCAGTCACGTAGGAAGGTGTATACTTCCTGGCTGGTTGGGGTCCCTAGGACGGTGAAAACCAATGAAGGCTGGAGACAATTGGTGATATGGCTCTAAATCATTGTCAGTGGATGGCGCAGATGCATTAATTCTTTGCGTCTTATCATATCATCCACTAAACCTCTATTGTTCTTCCACATTTCTATTTTTCTTCCCTCACTCACACTTCTTTTTATTATCTCTCGTTTGAATCTCTATTGACTCTCTTCTCTTGCTTTGTGTTCTACATGAAGTGGAGTGTGGCAACTTAAACTGCTGAACATCTGTGCAAAGTTCTTTGTTGAAACCAGTCAGCTGGTCAGTCCAACAGAGGCTACTGAAGGCTTTCAACAACAACTGCCTGCCTTCGCTTCATACTGAAGATGAGATGTCTTGTGAAAAAAATAAAAGCATAGGCAACAAGGAACTGTAGCAGGCAACGAACCAACCAAGAATCTGTTATCCAATAAATAAGCCCTTGGGAAATGGAGATGGACGACTGGACATTAGTTGGGGAAAGCGTTGAGTGATATCAGGTGCAAGCCAGGCTCTCTAGTGGGACCTGTTCCACTTGAAAACCAGAGATACTAAACAGGTTGTCTCTCAGGTGACCTCAGATTAATTGACTGTACTTTTAACCTTTATGTCTTGTTTCAAAAAATCAATTCCTCAGTCAAGGTCATTAGTCATCATTCCCATAAAGACTTCATGATACGATCTCCGATGATCATCAACAAAGACTTACCGATGTTTATGAAAATTTCTACCAGAAATCATTCTCAACAATCCCATTCATAGATAGATTTAATAGTAAAGATTTACAAAATGTACAGATGGACGAAAATATGTTTCAAGAAACAGGTTAAGAGCCATATATTCATCGTATGATGAGGCTACTCAATTATCTGGGCTAAAGTAGAGTTGGAGCAAGACTCGAACTCGTATGACTTATTCACAGAAAAGAACTCAGTTCTGAAACCGCCTATGTATCTTCCTTTTGAGCAAAGCAAGAACTACAGTTTTAGCAGAATAAAATGGTACCATCATTGCTTATTTCGTTGCCTTCTCGTCAGCTGCTTACAGGGCAAAGACATTGTTAAATATATCTACAAAAACAGTTTTAACATACTTGCACAGAGTTCATTTTAAACAAAAATCAATCGATCAATATACGCATACACTAATTATATATATATACATATATATATATATATATATATATATATATATATAATATTAAACACTATTCCGAACAATAATAACCATACACAATGAAAACTTTCGGCATTACGTATCTAGATGAAAGAGAGATGAAAATATCCAGTCACCAGAGCAAAGAAAGACTGATAACCGCTTCTTTCTGAACGCATAAGTCAGGTTTCAGGCGCTTGATGGAAATGGCTTCAGCAAACTTAAGGAGAATTGAGCTCTTTTGCCTATTGATAATTTTGAACAACTTTTCGACGCCCAAGTCATGACACGTGTCGACGAGATGGCACTGTTTAAAGCATTTGTTCCCTTTATTCATAAGCTTTTTGGTACATGTTCAGAAAATCGTAGACATGCCCTTGTTTCTGTCCTTCCAATGTAACTGCTCCCGCAGATACATGTAAATTTGTATATACAGTTGGAGTTGTTAACATGAGAAGGATATCTATTGATTTTTGATTGCACCAAAGAGCAAGTTGTTCGATAGACGGGAACCAGCTTAGCTGCAGGATAGGCTCTGGCTAGTGATGTGCTCAGCCTTCTGTTGATCATCGCTGAAATGTTTTCACCTTTATAATCAAGCTGAAAGTAGATTGGCTTTTTTCTTACTGTGATTTGGTTTACATTTGTGATAAACCTTTGAGGGTACCCATTGCTCTTCAATGTCTTTTCAAGAAACTCAAATTCTTCCTTTTTTGTTTTTCATTAGTCATCTAGATTAGACATCGATATTTTCACGTCCAAGGCAACTGGAAACTTGTGATCTTAAGCTAAAAAGCGTGTATATATACACCCATACGTCTATCATACAATAATTTTGTATAATGTTTCAATGTCCAAGTTATTTATTTATTTATTAATTCATTGATTTTTTTTTATTTATTTTGCATCAATCAGTCTCAAAGTTTTATAACGTGAAATTCTCTACTTCAAGAATACACATATATATATTTATACTCCATATGTGCTTATCACATATGTTATTTTCTTTTTCGTATTGATCTGTTTGTTTCTCAGCGTATTTTTGAAGCATATACCAACGTTCAATCCGTTTTGTGTAGACTTTGGACGAAATACTGTTGTTTTATCTTGTTATTGATTATATATATATAGGTGTGATAGTATTAATTTATGTTATTCGCCTAGACATCATAAGTACGCGCATATACCTCTATGTATATATATGTATATATATATATATCTGTAGCATTAGATTTGAGAATGTTGAAGTGATGATTTTTATTGTAACGTCGTTTTCATTGATTGATAAATTCAGTTTAGGCTAATCTTTTTCCCTAACCTGGTTGTTGTAAAAAAAAATAAATGCCACTGCTACCGAAACTTCAATCTTGAAGCCCCCTATGTTCCCCCCGAGGAATGTAGAGGAATGAGGTTGTTCGCTCCCTTTGGCAAATCTAAGATGATGTTACAGGACTGACTGGACTACACTGACTCCTAGGTTAGAATAAGGGAGTGAAGTGGTAGAGCACGTTGACTGCCTCAGTTGATCTCTGACGAAATCACAGCACGGATACAGAGGGCTAGTTTCACATATGCCAGTTTATGCCGTCTCTGGCATGGTAGACGTGAAACCCGACTGGCTATCGACCAAAGGGCGTGTGTACTGCTCATCATTCCGCTCCGTCCTCCTTTATGGCTGTGAGACCTGGCCATTGAGTGTGCGAGACATGAAAAGTCTGGCTAGCTGTCTTTGATCATAGGTGCCTGCGTTCTATCTCCTGGGTGAAGTGGTATAATAAGGTGAGCAATATTGAGGTTAGGCGTCGAGTGCTAGGAAAGGCGGGGAAATCAATCGACGAAACGGTGAAATTACTTCGACTGAGATGGTTAGGACATGTGTTACGTATGCCTAGCCATCGCCTTCCTCGACAACAGGCAATGTTAGCTGATATAGGGCCAGGCTGGAAAAGAGCTAGTGGCGGTCAAACGAAAACATGGCACCAGTCAATGAAATCTACAACAGTTAGTTTAAGCCCGCCACGTAGGAAGGTGTAGACTTCCTGGTTGGGGTCCTCGGGATAATAAAACCCATTGGTTGGAAACAATTGGTGATATGGCTCAAAATCGTTCTCAATGGCTAGGGCAGATGCATCCACTCCTTGTTATTTATGATTTCCAATGAAACTGTTTTGTTCTTCGTTATTACTATACCTTTGTCTCACACCTCAACTTACTGTCTCTATTATGCATTTCTTCTCTTGGTTTGTATGCTACATGGAGTGTGGCGACACGAACTGCCGCACATTGGTGCAAAGTTCTATGTCGAAAACAGACTGTATGGAGTTGTTAGCCAGCTTCATGCCCAATCTTCCCTCTTTACCAGTCTTATTACTAGCTTAGCGAGGTAACGAAGTGCGTTCAGTGGCCGTGGATCAAACGCCGAACTACATGCAGCGTGGTCGGCGAGCATTTTACCACTGTGCTACCGACGCATCTAACGTGTGTACTGACATCAATAATAAGAATCTTTGTGGAGTAGTGAACACTGTTTTGTTTTGATTTAGTTATAAATTTTTGTTGAATGGAAAGTGTTCAAAATGTGGTGTGTTGCTCCAATATCCATACAGGTGGTAGTGAGCCACACAATTATTGTGCGTTAAGGCTGGTGGTTCTACCTGGCTACTAATTGACTGGTTTCAATATTTCAATATAGAACTTTAAACAGATGTTCAGCAGTTCCAGTTACAACTCTCCATGTACCACACAAAACAAAAGAAGAGAGTAAAGAGAGATAATAAACAGAAGTGTGAGGGAAAAAGAGGAGTTAGTAATATGCTGGTGTCCCCCAAGGTGCTGTACTCTCCCCGCTTCTCTTTTCTTTCTTTCTACATGACTTACCATCCGCAAATGACATTAATTTTGTCAAATATGCTGACGACCTGACAGTATCTTTGCCTGTCAAATGTCAAAGTGACTGCTCTAAACTTAATGGCTTTCTGTCAGAAAACAGCCAGTGGTCCAAGGAAAACGGTCTTACCTTAAACCTCTCCAAATGTCAAACAGTCAATTTCACCTTGAGGCGTAAATCCGACCTAAACAAACTGGTTGGTTCTCACGAGGTGTGCAACATAGATGGCACTGAAATAGAAAGCAAGTCGGAAATTAAATACCTAGGCGTTATTCTATATACTGATCTTCCCTGGTCGTCTCATATCTTGACGATTTCTCAGAAAATATTCCATCTTACCTTCTACATCAAGAAGTTAAGACATTCTGGTGTAACTCAACCCTTACTCCTACAATTCGTTAACTTTCGCATTCTGCCTATTATTCTCTATTGTTCCCCCTTAGTTTTTCTCGGGCTACTGAAGAAAGACTATAACACATTACGCAGGATGTTAAAGGTTGTCAGCAGGGTAAGCAACGTGCCACTTAATCAGCTTGTTAATATTCTGGTCGACAGGCACATGGGCTCATGTGAAAAATGGGCCAAATCCATTTTATCTAACTCACACCACCCTCTTCACTCACAACTCTTCCCTTGCATCTCATCAGGCGAAACCAGAAGCCTATACAGGAAACTATATGCTCGCACCAGCAAGTACAAAAACTCATACCCTACTTAGCTCGTGTTCTGTGCGATAAAGAAAGCATTAGGCGTGACACCTATAATTCATTAAATAGTCAGTAGTACAACTGGACCTCGTCTTTCCAACTCATATCATTTACAGGTACAACATTTTTTTCTTTCTTTTCCTATTCTCTCTCTTTTTCCGTTTTGTGCTGCTTTTTTTCTTTCTCTCGCTTACGCCAGTAAATATGATAGCACCTACTTTCTAACACCTTCAAACACTGTTCAGCTTTGGCTTTGCTACTGACATGCCAATATGTTGTTGTCAAAACTAACTGAGATTACCCTTAATCTATGTAGAATTCTATTTATTGATAATGTACTAACTGGATGCAATACTGTAGTAAAAATACTGAGAATTCCATTCTGTATTACAAGCACTGTTTTGGAATAAAGCAAATTATTATTATTATTATTATGCAAGAACAATAGAGTTTTATCGGATGTGACATATCACAGAGAGTGAATGCATCTTCACCATCATTATTATTTTGAGCCATATCACTAATTGTCTCGAGCCATTGGCTCTTGGCATCCTGAGGACCCCATCCAGTCAGCCAGCCAGTCTACACCTCCCTACGTGGCTCGCTGGCTGGCTTAAACTAACTGTTATGGATTTCATTGACTGATACCTGGTTGGCCGAACCTTAGTAGTTGGAGAGGGGTTCGAACCCATGATCTACCGATTGAGATGAATAGTAATCGTAGTCTTATGACATGAAAAACAGGTACTTATCAAGAAAATCATGAATCGTAGTGTTAAAATAATAGGGAAAATCTTCTAGTTTACATGGACTTATTGAATATCGGATGGTTTGTCTGCAAAGCTTTCAACAGCTTCAACATGAAATGAATTTTGAGAATTTTCCATAGATCAGCTATCCGACTTTCCTAGTGATGATCTTAATAGTAATCTATTGTCCTGTAAAGTTTTCTTAAGAGCGTATTCACCCTTACTGATATTGTTTTGCTGATCAGATGTTTGACGTATTCTTTGTTGATCGATAAGTTTGATATGTATCCCTATGTCTGTTAATTGCAAATTGATTTCATCGCGATGTTTCTGGAGATTTTTTGACATTCTTTGGTTTGGAGCACTTCGTAATGTTGAAGCATTTATCAAATTACTTGACGGTTGACGCTGTAGAAGGCCTTTTCGAAGTCGATGAAGTTGAGATGGAGAGTTGAACGCCATTCGTTGCTCATTTCGATAGTAATGCATAGCGTTGCGATTTGCTTTTCCTGAATCCATCTTCTGCCGGGCGGAGTTTTGCATCCAGTCTCTCCGGGATGATGCGAGTTAATGCTTTACGTCGAATGGAAAGAAACATGATTCTGCTTGAGATTTCGTAAAGACTTGGGTCGCCCTTCCTTGATAGTTTGACAAGGTAGTCCTTCTTACAACTGGCAGGTACCTTTCCTTACAAACTTTCTGTAGTAGTGTTGAGAGCATATCTGCTGAGGTCTCCTCGTGGTCTGTTTTCACTGCTTCTGAGAGGGCGGTGTGGGTGGAGGTAGAGTAAATTCCGTCTGGTTTTCATTAACTTTGTGACACTCAAAACTTCTACTTTTGTCGGAGAACTGGTTTTCCCCAGGAAAATCTGTTACTACTCTTGGTTTTTCTGGACGAAATGCAAATCATGGTCTATTCAAGAGTCTTTTGAAGTGATCTTCCCATTGTTTTCTTAGTCCATATTTGACAATTAGGTTCCTTTGATCATCTTTTACAGGTTTCATCTGTGTTAATCTGTTCCGGGATAGAGACCCGGTTATCTGATATAGTCTTCTGTGATATCTTTTACCTGCACCATGCCTGTTCTGCTTCAGTTGACAGTGTGTTGTAGAATTGTCAGTTCAAGAGTCTTTCAAAGTGATCAGCCCATTGTTTTCTTAATTAGGTATCTTTCACTATTTATTCCTTGTTGCTAAAGTTTATCACTCCTAAACAAGAGCATTTTTTATTCCTTAACGTTCCCAGTGGAAAATAGGGGGAATTCAAGCTAGAGACCTGAAGTTTCTGTATTAGTGGTATTTATTTTTACGGGATGGATGGCGTTGCTTACCAGCCTCACCTAGCCCAACCTTCACTCTTTGTCGGCCCTACTACCGTCTTCGGGAGGTAAAGGAGTGCGTCGGTGGCTGTGGATCGAACCCCGAACCACGTGTGGCATTCTACCGCTGTGGCGCTGACGCGCAAACAAGAACATTATTGACGTCTTATAAGATAGCGAACTTAGAATTTCAAACAAATATCCTTTCCAGTTTTTAAAGTTTAATCAGGTGAGGTTGGGTATCATTCCGAAGTCAACTACCTAAAATATTCAAAGTAATCAAACGTGATTGTTGAATAATGTTCATGCTAATCTTATTGTGTGTCAGTTGTTCAGCGGAAGAATGCTTCTGTACCCCATGCACATTATCCGGGGGGGGGGGGTCGATTTCCAGCCGGACGCACTGCTAAACCTCTCCTAGCCAGTAAGGGTGGAAGGTTTCGCCTGAGATTAAGAACCCACGTACCACGTAAAGAAGTATCACCGCTATTGGAATTTCAAAACTCAAGCAAGGTTGAAGCCGTGTGTTCCAATAGGAGCACAAGAAATTAGAAGGATCTTTTATACATTTAAAAAAATAATAAACAATATCATGAATACAATTTTAATTTACTAATGATATTTCTACTCTAAATAAACCTTATTTTATCCCTTTTTATAGTTGATTGTATAAGGTGTATTCAGAAGAATGAATTCAGAACCGATAGTCTCTTCGGAACCAGTAAGGTGTTTTTATGAGTGTTATTTAATCTGTGGTGTAACTAGTTAACATTGTCATATCATAAATGTGAACTTATATTATATTATCGTTATTATTATTATTATTGTTTCCTTTAGTTCATAGAGGAACATAGGACTTCAGCCGCACTTCTCCATTGCGTTCGGTTCTTCGGCAACGTAGTCACCTGGCTCCACGTCTGCCCATATGCCTTTATTTCCTCTTCACATGACCTCCTCTATGTCACCCTTGAACAACCAACTCGCCGTTTCCCGTTCGGCCGGGTTCCACGCGAAGGCCTGTGTTGTGATGTCACTTGATGGTTTGTTTTCTCAGAGTATGACCTCCAATCCACCTGCAATTCTTCCTGCATATTTGTTGAACAATCGGTTCCTGCTGGGTTGGTTCATTCATTGCCAGAGATCCGTGTTGCTGATGTTTTCTAGCCGACCATCTGATCTTGAGTAGTATTGCGCGAAGACGTGTGTTGATGAAGGTGTGTAATGTGTTCGAAGTGGCCTTCGTGACACGGCGTCAGGTCTCTGATCCGTATAGTGAGTAGCACTGACTTCAGATTGGAGTTGAAAATCCAGATGTTACTTTTCATGCTGAGTGGTGTTGACCTCCACACAGAGAAATGGAAGCTTGACTTGCTTTCCGGATCCTCGCGCTTGGATATCCTCATCAGTTCCGTCCGCCTGTAGTTTAAACGATGCTCCCCAGGTCGGTGATGCTGATTGTTGTCTGGTGTTGTTGCTTTTCGCTGTGGCTGTTGGCCAGGAATCTTCATCACCTGTGTTTTCTCTATAGGTGATATTATCCTATTGTTGTGTAGTACGAATCGATTTCAGAGATCCTTACTCACGTAGATGATCAAATTATTAGTTAGAACTCACTTATATCCGTAACTGCTTATAGAAGCGTGTAGGCGGTAATTACTTCCCAGGTGTCCACACTCTATAGAAGTCGATTTATACTCTGAGTACTTGAAGCAGAAACAGCATCCATAGTAGTGTTGTCTCACCAGAGAGCTGAGAGGAAAACTGCTTGAGTCTGTTCACATACGACCTATTCGAAGTAGTGTCCATATGAAGATCTTACTACCTCAAGGTAGGTATGTTGGGATGTACACTTTTTTGGGTTGACCTGTTCTAAACCTTCTCTCCAGAGCCAAGAGAAAGCATATCTAGTTTACTGGTCATCTGATGGAATCACCTTACTGATGGTACATCCCCCTATTCCTTTGCAGAAAAACTTCACCCACAGACCCTCACAATAGTGTAAAGGACTTACACCATGTGATGGTTACTGCTTTTAGTCTAACAGCTATCCAAAGGACATTTCTGGCAAGGGGGAACCTGCAGGAATATTCGTTCCAACCAGTGTAGAACGTGGAGTCATTGCGATATGCAAACTATACCATTACTTCAAGATAACAGCTATCGATCGGTAATTACCAGGGATACACTTCTCATTTGTCAGGCTGTGAGATACACTTTATTATATTAGAGTTGGTGATACTACCCAGTTGCTTGGGGTTCGGACTCCGCGGTCGAGTGGTTAAGCCAGTGAGCAAGCTGTGTCTTCATCGATGAAGGGTTATTAATTGATTATATTTGTATTAGCCACCCAAATAAAAGTGAAGTTAAATCGGGATGGAGTTTCTTCTTCACTTGCTTTATGTTCAACTCACCAATTTTAGGAATCATTTAGTACTATGGGATTAAGAATTGTTTGGAGTATAAGGGGAGTTTGACCGATAATAAGACGTAGTAGACTGTGTGCGATAAGAATCTAGTGTGCTTACGTCAAGAACATCGTCATCAGCGGCAACAACAACAAGAACACTATCAACGATACACCTAAATGAAACAGTAAACAGATCGTCAACAAGAGAGCTTTCACTATGCTCAAAAGCAGTCAAAACACATGACACTGACGCTGCCTGTATTATACAGGCCACGAACAACTTTGATAAACATTAAATTTTGAATAAAGCAAGAACAACAATAGCTTGAGCAGAATACGATGGTATATATAACATCGTTTATTTCATCGACTTCTCATGAGCTGCGTACAGCTTTGAAAAAATGCAATAAGTTTATGCACAGAATAATTTTTAGCATACTAGCATTGGTTACATGATGTTAGTTAGCAGGAGGCTCCAAATTTAATGAACAGTACTCAGAATTATACGCTTGTATGGTTTATACACAAAAAGTTCAAGTTTAAACAAATGATAAGGGAGTTGCGTAATACTTTGCAATGGCTGTGAGTGAGGTCAACTACATAGGTCAGTCAAACTAGTAGATCGGGCGGGGTAGTAAGATTATCAGAACAAAATAATTTAGCTAAGGTCAGAATGACTGACCACACGAAGATAAGTAATTTAGAATAAAAGCTGAGCAATAGCACTGCATGTATCAACATACAACCCCACAATAGGATGGGTGGGACAGAGTCGAAATTCTAAAAAGTAATATAGGTAGGTGGAGATTGATTATTGAATCCTGGTTCATCGAATAATCTATACCCAACACATGCAACAGAAATGACTCAATGCAAATACCAGAGATATGTATGGAAGATATTATTACCACCAGTCAAATTAGGGGAGGGTAATGAATAATAGTATTAAAATGTATTCAATTCAATTCACATTATAACATTCTAACATGTTACTTATTATGACTATAAAAACACTCGTCTTATTTCCCATCTGACTGTATTTGATTGATAACACTAATATTATTACCGAATGTACTTTGCAAGTCTTATACCGATTTTATTCAAATGTCTAATCAATTTTTGCTCATGTATATAAATGAAGCAAGAAAGTTGTGTTAGTGAGTGCCTTGATATGATTGTGCGCAGTAATAAATTGTGCTCGAAACGTGGTTATCATCAGTAAATATTACTCATTGTATAACACCACTGTGTGACATTATCAAAATAAAATTTTATCCATAATAGAATAATACTCTACCACCACAGTGTCCAATTTTATCCTTTCATCTTTTTTTTTTCTAAAAAAATATTTTCAGACAACAACAGTGACAGCTGATGATGAGAACATGTCTAAGCGAAAACGTCGCAAATTAGAGAAGTACTTGAAAAGTAAAGAGGTAAGTTGTAAAAAAAAGTAAATTTAAATTTCATTAAAAAATTTCCTTTACTAACCGATATCAGTTAGACAATTCTTGAAAACAAAGGAAATAATGAGTAGCTGTTTCTTTCCAATTTGGGACTCTTTAGCAGCATGCAAGCTCATCCAACAGCTATATGATAATGCCACTTGTCGAGTGATTCGCAACAGAAAGCTAAGCGACGCCTTTAAAGCGTAGACAGGAGTAAAACAGTGCTGACCACCATTATCGACTGTATCCCTGATTCTTTTGGACTGTATCATGAGGCAAATAGCAGGGAGTGAGAAGGCAGAAATATGTCGGACCGACAAGAAGATTCAAAAAATTTGAACTTTGCAAATGATATATGTCTTGAGTGTTGCTCACGTAAACTCGAATGTCTACAGGCGGATACCAACAAGTTAGCGGTGCACATACGTAGTGAATAGAGGACTCCAGATGAACATAAAGAAGACAGATGTGCTGAAGATGTCTAACCTACAACAACATGCATCACAAAGTCATTTTTTCCACCTATCTAGGTAGCATCGTTTCAGCTGAAGATGGGCGGCACTGATGGTTGAAAAGGCAAGGCAAACCTTCATTAATCTGATGTCAGCATAGAAGTCTGTTCCACTCAATATAACTAACAAGATTCTATTTTTTTACCACTAGTATAATATCAGTTGCTCACTAGCTACTGACCCTATTCAGGTAGGTAGTTACCTGAGGTCCTAGAGGAAAGTCGTGACCAGTAGGATACAGCAGGTTGGATGTGAGGATAAACGCTCACCAGCGATGACATTGACTAGTGGTCGCGCTATGTTGTGAATTGGCAGAAGTTGGAATTCATGGGCTGGCCATTGGATCTGGTTCCATTGGCTTAATAGTCTACGAGCTCGCTAGCCTTGTAACCAGAAGGTGCTGGGTTCGACCCCCTGTGGTGGGTGCGTACTGTGAAGAGTCCCAAACTATGCTGATGAAACGGCTTTCCAGCACTCTCTGGCAGTTTTCCGATGGTTCTCTAATCGATGTCAGCTCATGATGAAATCGTGTAAGCAATCAATCAAATCCCTACAAATCAATACTTGAATATCATATCAGTTAGTGCTTCTCTGTGATTGAGAGGCTTATCGCCTTACAGACAGACCTTACCTGCATACTGAAGATCAAATGGGTGGCCGAAAACAATAAATAGGCTGCAAGGAACTCCGGCAGACAGAGAACTAATCGAAGAAGGGGTTGATAGCAGATTGTACATACAATAAGAAGACTGTTAAGTGGCATCACGCGCCGGGACCTCGAATGCGAGACAAGGATTTCGGTGAACGTGCGTTGGTGACATGGAGGAGAAGAGAACGCAGGCTTATGCGTAATTGTGCAGTCAGGTGAAGAGAACATAGTGAAATAAAGATGTGCAGCTGTGGAGGCCTCTGTTCTACTCGGAACTCAAGGGATAAATAATTATCCATAGTAGTAATACACACTCATGACTGTCAAAGTTGGAATCGGAAAGGCAAGATACGCCTTCATCAGCCTGAAACCCGTTTGGAAATCTTCTGCATTCAGCCAAAATAAAGAACAAGTTACGGATTTTCAACACCAATGTGAATTCAGTCACTTTCCCTATACTGGTCAGAAAATTGCACTACGCATCATGGAAAGGTTATCCAACAGGTTGCAGACTTTTATCAACAGTTACCCACTTCGCTGGCTCCATACTGGAAATCAAATCGCTGGGAAGAAATCAACCAAGAATCTATTGCTCAACAGATATGTAGGAGAAAATGGAGATGGATGAATTGGACAAACGCTGAAGGGACTGTTGAATAACATCGCGCCCAATGCAGGTCATTGCTAGAGTGAAATCCAAATGTGAAGCGACGCATGGGTTGTCAATGCAAGGGTGACATGGATGAGATGAGAGGTAATGGGCAAACGTGGAGTAACCCAGCTGAAGAGGACAGCAGAGAACCCAATAAAGTGGAGATGTGGTGTAAAAGCCCTATGCTTCACTCTTAACCCAAATGAATAATAATAATAATGACTGTATCAGGAGTTGTACGAAAAAACTACCTCGTAAAATGATGATCCTATGTGTGTAGTAATGAAGAGTCTAAAAATAGGACGAAACATTGCTTTAATGCCTTCTGTTGTTCCTATAATTCGCTAACTGATGTCAATTTGTGAATTAAATTAAACCTTCACAAACCGAATATCTGAAAATTGTCATTTATTTCAATGTGATCGTTTTTTGTTTTTATCCTCTCATTACTAGGCAAGACGTGATGCAAGAAAAGCACAAAAACAACGTCGTAAAATGCGACAAAATTTGTTAAAACAAAATATTCAATCTTCTCAAGCTACTGTTGTCAATGATGCTCATGATACCAACAATGGTAACTCAGTAGAGGATTCGTCAAATACTGTTGATTGTTCTGTTTCACAAAAACCTGTACAGCAACGTCGTATTCAAAAAATGTCAGAATCTAAATGTCAAACTAAAGTTGTCATTGATTGTGCTTATGATCATTTGATGTCATTCAAAGATATCTGTAAATTAGCTCAACAGGTAAACTGATTTGTATGTGTGTGTGCGTGTCTACCATTTCTATTCTGAATAAGGTATTTAGCAGACTAATTTCGTTAGATGACATCGTCATTTCGTAGTCTCTCTATAATCACTTTACGAGTAGCATTATTCGTTCCTAGAGAAACATAGGACTTCAGCCGCACGTCTCCATTGCATTTTCACCTGACTCCATGTCTGCACACATGCCTTCATCTCCTCTTCACAAAACCTCCTCCTCGATGTCACCCTTGCACTGATGACCAACTGACTCGCCACTTCCCATTCGACCGAGTTCCACTCGACAGATGGCTTGGCGTCTTGATGTCACTCACTTGATGATGGTTTGTTTTGTCAGAGTATGGCCACAATCCAATCCACCTGCAATTCTTCCTGCATATTTGTTACATAATTGGTTCGTGCTCGGTTGATTCGTTCATTGCCAGAGATCCGTGTTGCTGATGTTTTCTGACTGGCCATCTGATCTTGAGTAGTATTGAGCGAAGACGTCTGTTGATGAAAGTCTGTAGTTTGTAGTAGTTGCATGGTTCACAATAATAAAATGAAATAAAATGTGTGACAATTACTCAGTTATATAAATAAAACAAAAGAAGTACAAACTAATGACCAATCATATATAAATAGGTTGGTCGATCGGTTTCGACACAGAACTTTGCACATATGTGCGGCAGTTCAGGTCGCCACATTCCATGTAGCACACAAAGGAAGAGAAGAAAGTAGGAGAAATGCATAATATAGACAGTAAACAGAGGTTTGAGACAAAGGAATAGTAATAACGATGAACAAACCAGTTTCATCGGAAATCATAAGTCACAAGGAGTGGATGCATCTGCGCCAGCCATCACCGAGAACGATTTTGAGCCATGTCACCAATTGTTTCCAGCCATTGGATTTTACCGTCCGGAGGACCCCAACCAGACAGTCAAGAAGTCTACACCTTCCTACGTGGCGGGCTTAAACTAACTGTTGTGGATTTCATTGACTGGTGCCATGTTTTGGTTTGACCGCCGCTAGCTCTTTTCCAGCCTGACCCTATATCAGCTAATATTGCCCGATGTTGAGGAAGGCGATGACTAGGCATACGTAACAGATGTCGTAACCATCTCAATCGATGTAATTTCACAGCCTCGTTGACTGATTTCCAATCATTACCTACTAGCGCTCAACGCCTAACCTCAATATTGCTCACCTTATTATACCACTTCACCTAGGAGATAGAACGCAGGCACCTATGATCGAATAGATTAAGTAGTCAATTCATGGTAGGCGTAGTTTGAAGTCTATTGTTTCTTTGTACTCATAGTTTACGATGTATGTGATTAATCCTCAAAGTGCTTCCATTACCTTTAATAACCAACCTTGAATTAGAGGTGTGGGATGAAATAATTGTGAATCAGTCATTAATTAATATTGATTTTATAACGTGACATTAATAAGTGCTTTGCAATGGATGACGATGATGGATTTCTATTCAGATTAATAATTACATTAGGATTTTCTTCTATGTCTCTTAATAACCATTTGGGAACATGTTCTTTTCGATGACTACATTGGGACATTCTAGTGGTTCTATACCTATATAAGTGTCACCGCAACAACTGCAGGTGAACTTGTAGATACAGTTTTGAAGTAGAATCGACAGAATTTCATCCTTTCATCGTAGGTAGATACAGGGATCGAAAATGTTCGAGATGTGAGGGAAAGAGATACGACGGCGTAGAATGTGCGCTTGATGGCTAACCGAAGTCTTTGAGGTATCAACTGCATAATTTGATCACCCTTAAATGGCAGGTTAATAAAGGCAGCTTTCTTTGGTACAGAAGCTGTCTTTTCTAGATATGGTCTATTCTTACTGTGACAAGTGATAAAGTTTTCTGGATATAACCACTAGCTAATAAAACTGAATGTATATGTGTCGAAGCTCATGCATCAATGTGTCGCTCGTACATATTTTGCGGGCACTTGAAAACATAAATTTCTCTCACTAGGGAATGCTTATACTGGATAGGAACAAAGCTTGTGAAATGTAGGTATTCTCCACTCCATGTAGAAATATAAATCGCTTGATCGTTCGTTCCATCGTCTCTACTAGTTATTGAAATACCCAGGAAACTGAGTTTCTTATTCCATTCGAGGTCGGAAGTCACTCAGATATTACGTTGAATATGATTAAATAGAGTAATAAAGTTTTCAGTAGACTTACTGTTATTACCAATAATGAGAGTATCATCCACATAACGTTTATGTGACTTACATTTCCCGAGCATACCTTATATTTGTTTCTCCAATAATTTTGACATGAATATATCTGCTAACAGGGGTCCAAGAGGGCTACCCCTCATCGCAGCACCATCGATTTGTGTGTATGTCTTTTTATGGAAGGTGGTTGTAAGACGATTGTAAAGCAACTACGAAATGACGATATCATCTCGTGAAATTTGTCTTCTAAATGCCTTATTCAAATTTATCAAAGGGACTAATTGTTTTAATATTTTAACTGATTTAAAATGCCTATTAAAATTTTTCAAAAGAATGGTTACTGAACAAAAAATATTCTTTCCGATAACTTCATCATTAGGTTCCACAGTCACATATACATAATAGTGAATGAATGAATCAGTGTTATTAACAACAATAATGTTGCTTAAATCACATCGAATCAATAATAATAATATCAATGGATGACAGTTCGATAGCATAAACATAACAACAAACACTGAATATCAGAAAAATTAGGAAAGATAATATTACAAATTCGTGAATTTATAGTCTCTACTGAAGGCTGGCCAGAGCGGTAGTAGTGGTTGGCTGGACTTGCTTCTTTTACACACAAAGCACTGGTTGTTTCAGGCGACTCGCGATAGCCTCTACTGTTTGGAGCATGCGGTATCTGGATGTGTTTGGCAATTTATTTGGTACCCGGTAGAGTAGGATAGAGAACGATTCTTCATTGCTGGTTTTGTGGTCGGTTTGGACCAGGTGGTCTAATATCGAGCTGTTTATGGTTTCCACTGCACCTTTACTTAGTCACATTGATAGATATTCTGGAGCATGAAAAATCAAGTTTCTAGAGCAACGGCCAATATAACTCGCTCCACCACAAGCGCAGTTGAATTAGTAGATACAATTAGAAGTGGCTAGTCTAGGTACTTCATCTTTCAATTGGGGAATCACCACTGGTCATGTAGAAAATAAGACTTGTAGTTTGCCAGCATTAAAAGCTCTTTGAAGTGATTTTCTTAACTTCTTTGTAATTATTTCACTTGGTGTATATCGCCCTTGAATATTGCAGTCGTATGTATTAAGGCTTCTTGTTTACGGATAATGAATAGTCCTTTTCAGCTTTCTTTGTCATGTATTTCTTGATAAATTTATCGGGATATTTCCATTCTGTTTGAATTGAAATTAAATCACTTTGGTTGATGATGGTGGTTAGTGTAGCTGTGATATCCAGTATTCCCACTTCATCCTATTCATGACTTGTCAGCTGGATATCACTCCTGAATTCCAGATAGTTGGTGATGTTCCCACTTAGAATCCACCATTGTGTTTTGTGCTTTGGAGTTTAAAACGATGGGTGGTTGGGGTTCGAGTCCCAGTAGGGACAGTATCACTCACTGGAGATTTCGAGCGCATCCAATTAACAAGTCTCAAATAGGCTGAAATGTTCATTCTTGACTCCACTGCAACCCCCAGCAGACACCAAATGATATCATCTTTAACTTCAAACATCATCCAAGCCTCCGTACGAGGAGCCCACAAATCAACAGACACCTGGTATTTCATAAAATGATAAATGGGGAATGCACGAAAACTACGACAAACTATTATATATATAGGTTAGGGTTGCATTCAAATTTTGGTGAACAAGCCTTAGTTTATATCACCGCCGGGATACTCCTTCTCGAACCGTTATTATCTATTACTATAAAATCACAAGCTTGGTACATTGTTGGCGGGAGGGAAAACGACCGTCTATAAAAATTCATTCAACATGCTTGAGGTAGACCTTGACGGATAAAGATTTTAGAAGACGATTTAAACAAGCAAATTACTGACTGACTGGTTTCAACGTAGAGATTTGCACCGATGTGCAGCAGTTTGAGTTGCCACACTTCACTATGCACACAAAGCAAGAGAAGAAAGTAAAAAGAGATTCAAAACAGAGATATGAGGCGAAAAGAATAGTAATATGGAAGAACAATATAGTTTCATTGTAAATTATAAGTCACAAGAAGTGGATGCATCTGTGCCAGTCATTGACTACGATTTCGAGCCATATCACATTATTATCTCTAGTCTTCATTGGTTTTTACCGTCCCGAGAACCCCAACCAGGAAGTTGACGCCTTTTACATGACTTAAACTGACTGTTGTGGATTTGAGTGACTGATGAAGCCACGCTTTGGTCTGACCACCACTGGTGCTTTTCCAACTTGATTTATCCTATTTCAGCTAACATTTCCCGTTGTCGAGGAAGGCGATGGCTAGGCATACGTAACACATGTCCTAACCATCTCAGTCGATGTAGCTTCACAGCCTCGTCGATTGATTTCCCCTCCCACCTACCTAGCACTCGACGTCTAACTTCAATACTGCTCACCCTATTATACCACTTCACACGGGAGATAAAATACAGGCACCTATGATCAAAGACAGTTAGCCAGCCTTTTCATGTCCTACACTTTTAATGGCCTGATGTCACAGTCAAAGAGGAGGACGGAGCGAACTGCTGAGCAGTACACACACCCTTCGGTCAACAGCTAACCAGGCGGGCATCTCGTCTACTTAGCCAGAGATGGTGTAAGTTGGCAAAATTCCAAACGAACCTTCTGTATCCGTGCTGAGATCTCGTCAGCGATCAGATTAACTCGTTGGCGTTGGCTGATGCAATTCCCCCACCCCCCAAATAAATGAAGTGGTCAACTCGCTCTACCACTTATACTCCCTATTTTTAAGCTAGGAGTGAGTCAATGTAGTCCAGTCCTGTAGCATCATCTTGCACCTGGCGGGAACATATCGCATTCTAATCATTCGCAGATTGCAAATCAAGGTGTTCAGAAGACTTTGCATTTTGTCAGCAAATACATTATTTCGGTAAATTCTCATCAGGCTTTACCATTATATAATAAAATATCAGTCACAGATATTGGAAACAATGTGGGTCGATGGTTCAGCGCTAGAATACTCGCCAACCACGCAGTTGGTCCGGGGTTCGATCCCTGGACGACGCACTCCTACTCCCCGCTAAGCCAGTAATAAGACTGGTCAAGAAGAAAGGTTGGGCTAGGTGAGGCTAGCAACCCCATCCCGTAAAAATAAACACCACTGCTACCGAAACTTCAAAGCTGTAGATTAAAGCCCAATGTTCCACTGGGAACGTTTTTTAAAATAACCAAGGATAATGTAAGCAGAATAACAATAATAATAATAATAATAAATTGTGAAACTAACATTAAAATATACAATTATAACACAGTATGATATTGATAATCAAGTTAGCAATACAAATAGAAATAAAATAATAATTACAGTTATAACTGATTAAAAATGCCCATTAAAATTTTCAAAAGAATCGATACTGAACAAAGAATACTCTTTTCGATAACCTGCTCTTCATCAGGCTCTACAGTTATATATACATTATAGTTAATGAATGCATGAATTAGTGTTATGAACAACAATAATGTTATTTAAATCACTTAGAATCACTAATATTGATAGATTACAGCTCAATAGCATCAACATAAAATAAGCTGAATGTCAGAAAAATTATGAAAGATAATATTACAAATTCATGAATTTATAGTCTCTACTGAATGCCGACCAGGGCAGTAGTAAAGGCTGAACTTGCTTCTTTTGAACACAGAGCATTGGTTGTTTGAGGCGAATTGCAATAGCCTCTGCTGTTTGGAGCATGCGGTGCTTCGATGGTTTAGGTAATTTGTTAGGAACGCGGTACATTATATAGAAGGGTTCTTCAATGCTGGCTGGCTTTGTGACCGGTTTACAAGGGATGGTCTAATATCAAACTGTTAATAGTTTTAACTACACCTTTACTTAGCTATAATGGGATATGTTCTCGAGTGAGCACGAAAAATCAAGTTCCTAGAGCAACGGCCAATATAACTCGCTCCACAAGCGCATAACACTAATTTATTCATTCACTATAATGTATATATAATTGTAGAACCTGATGATGAATTTATCGAAAAGAGTACTCTTTGTTCAGTATCCACTCTTTTGAAAATTACAGTTATCCTGTGTCAGCGGTATAACTCCTTTGCGTCCAGTTTGAAGGCCATGTGAGGAGAAAGGATTGAACAAAACTTTTTCTGAAAACAAAGATTGAACTGAAAATTCTTTATGACGACTGCCCCAACTTTGCTTAGCAATCAAAGGCGTATAAACCAAGGGAATTGAGGTGCCACTTTGTAAGGAATTGTAAAGGCAGAATTTTTATCAATCTTGTGATCCGTGTCCACAATGGTGTACCAGTATGGAACTCCTGATTGACTCTAGGACTCCTTCATTTAACCACGTTAGACAATGCTCCAGAAGGTGACGGTGGACTTTTAATCTTAGTTTCATAATGTATCAACAACAACCGTGAAGGAACTCATTTCCCTTCTGAGATCCGAACCTGCATCAGCAGCCAGTGCTGCAGTCAGAGACGTTACCACTGAGTTAGCTATTCGGGCTTGCGATTAACCTCCTGTAGGACTGTATTGGATACGCCTTGCTGACTGGTGAGTGCCAACTAGTATGAAACCTAGTTCCAAGGCTTCTTGTGGTGAGTTGCCTCCAACAAACAATTCAAAAGTACACCGTGATGGCAAGCCACCTAGTGGCATGGTAGCCACATTGCAAACTTGACTGACTGATAGAATTCAGTCTGCACCAAAGATAGGACTAGACACACACATTACACTAGTTACTGGCTAGTGTCCAATCAAAAGTATCTTACTATTTCTATTGAAAAAGAGAAGAATTAAGAACTATAAATTATTAAGTCGCAAAAACTTGTGGAGTTACGTTTTATATCGATGTGGAACAATGAATAACGCTAAGAACATTATCAGGTAAAATAATGTTGTTGTTTCTGTGTGATAAGTGTATGTTAGGATGTCACATTATCACGTAATCGCTAAATTTCATTGCGATTGGAGTTTTGCTTTTGTGCTTTCAATCAAGAATAACTTAGTGAACTCAGATCTCAAATAACTCCTTGAAATGACGTATTTGATAGTCGGTAGCAATGCATACCAGGAAACGCGTTTCGTCCTATTTGGGACTCATCAGTTAGATGCAGTTGTATCTCAGTAAGTGATGGTGGTGTTCGTGTTCTTACTGAGACTTCAAACCATCCCAAAGTATCGTTTCAAATGCCAAGACTGTATCCAAAAAGCTTACTCAGAAATCAGTCACCATGGTGAAGATTTCTGATGTACCAGACCAAGAACAACAATTAATGCTTAAAAGTTGATGATACTGCCTAGTTACCTAGGTGAATTGGGACTCCATCTTGGCACCGATCGACTTTTTTGAGCCAACGTACACCACAACCAGCAGGTATACTTTGACACTGTCTTTCAGTGTTTATATTTATGACCTCCAGGTTACACAAGAAATAGAACTCATGACGCATGCATGGTCCATTAGTCCAGTGGATAGTAGGAGTAGTTTTGTGCCTGGACCAATAGGCTCTGGCTTCAAGCCTTTTTTATCCTTCACGTTCCCCAGTGGAACATAGGGCTTCAAGCTAGTGGCTTGAAGTTTCTGTAGCAGTGTGTATTTTACAGGATGGGGTTGCTAGCCTCATGCCCAACCTTTCCTCTTCACCAGCATTATTTCTGGCTTAGCGAGGTGAAGGAGTGCGTCAGTGGCCGGGGACTGAACCACGGACCATGTGCATGATCGGCGAGCGTCCTAACCGCTATGCCATCGACGCACCTTCAAGCCTTACTGGGACGCAAATACATTCACAGCTGGATAAGCACCAAAAATCAATTACACAACTCAATTTCTAGATTTTACTGTCCCCCCCCCCCCCGCCGATTGGGTGATAAAAAGGGCTTCTTCTATGAAGGCTCCATGTGGCATGGATAAATTCGGGAAATAATAAATATGAATACACCTCCCTTTCTATTCTATAGCTATTTGAATTCAGAGCGTAATTTTTTTAATTTGCTTCATGTTATTTTACAAAACAAAAAATTCTTTAGGTTACTAAATGTTATTCTATTAATCGACGTGCAGAACATCCAGTCCAGTTGTATATAACTGGATTAGGCTCCTCTGAACAAAGCCAGTGCATCATTGCGGATAATCATAACGGTGGGAATAATTCCAAGGAGAAATCTTCCTTAAACATAGATATATCAAAATGTGATTCTGTCCGTCTGTTAGATAAACTGAAGTTATGCGATTGTGACAATTGGGATGTCAATTTGTGTGAGGTAAGCCTTCTTTTTTGAAATATTAACTTAAATTTATTTTTTTTAGTTTGGTTTGTAAGGGTTAGTTTTGTTTTTACGATGATTCCCAAACTAGGACGGAGGAAACAGCTGTCCAGTACTCCCTGTGGCTGATTTTCAATGGTTCTGTCTAACTCGTAAAATACAAAACTAACCCTTACAAACCAAACTATAGAAAATTAATCTGATGCTCGCTAGTGACTTGCTACAGGATGGAGTTTCCTGGAGTTAGTTCTTGTGAGAAACCGTGACCAGTGAGGTCCAATTAGATGTCACGTGTGAGGATGGATGTCCCACCGACGACGACATTGGTTGGAGTCGCACTAGATAACGAATTGGTAGAAGTTAGAATTCATGGACTGGCCATTGGATTGGGTCCCAGTGGCTGAATGCCATACGAGCTTGCCTTGTGACCAGAAGGTCCTGGGTTAGAACTCGTGTGGTGTAGTGGGTGCGTACTGCCGATGATTCCCAGACTAGGACAAAACATCTGTCCAGTACTCCCTGTTGGTCTTCAATGGTTCTCTAACTGATATCTAACTGCTTATCTCTTATCCATCTATTGTAACACTGGCGTATTATCCTTTTTGGTATTCCCCTGAGATAGAGGATTTAACTATGGAAGCTTTTATTATTATTATTATTGTATTTCTACACACGTTCATTCAAAGATAACTTTAAAATGACAAATATTCTAGCATATTAAAAGTTATTTTGAACAAACAACCAGAATGCATTCTTTTCAATAAATTCCCTTTTTAGGTTCCTATACCTATAAAATAAAATATTTATTATCATTACACCAAATAGTAGTCGGTTATAAGGCGGATACATCTTCACTTACGTGGAATAACAGATTAGTTATAGAGTGATAAACCTACAAACCTGAATGTAATTACAAAATATTGTGAAATGCGAGATGTGATGAGGATGATGATTAATCATAAGAGATTCATACAATGATGTATTATTATTTTTATTATCCTCTTGGGTTCCGAGTGGAACATAGGGCTTCTACAACACATCTGCTGTTCTCTTCAGCTGGTTGTCCTCATAATTGCCCATTATCTCTCATCTCCTCCTACTCCTCGTCACACGATCTCCTCCATGTCTCCGTCGCACTGACGACGCACTCGTCGCTTCCTATTCGGATTCCACTCGATCAGTGGACTGTACTACACGCGATATCATTCGACGGCCTCCTCAATTGTGGATGCCTGATTCATCTCCATTTTATCCTAAATATTTGTTGAGCAATCGGTTTTTGCTTGTTGGTTTGTTGCTAGTCAGAGTTGCTTGTTGCTAATTCATTCTGGCCATTTGATCTTCAGTATGTAGCGAAGGCAGCTGTTGATGAAAGTCTGAAGTAGCCTGTTGGAAATCCTTTTCGTGACGCGCAGTACAAGTTTCTGACCCATATCGAAGCAGTGACCGATTTGACACTGGTGTTGAAAATGCTAACCTTGTTCCTAATGTTGAGTGGAGAAGATTTCCAAAATGGTTTCAGGTTAATGAAAGCGTATCTTACCTTTCCCATTCTGCCCTGCTTTGACACCTTCATCCATTCCGACTGCCTGTGGTTGAATCCGTGCTTCATAGCCGAATTAGCGGAAGAAGTAACCTCTTTCAAATTGCTTCCGTTGATAGTGATTAGTGCTGGTTGTTGTTGCTGTTGGCTGGGTGATTATCTGCATCACCTCCGTCTTCTTTATGTTCACCTGCAGTCCTGTCATCGCCACCAGCTTCTTCAGTCAGTCTGTTGGTTTTCGACTGTAGGTCTTCGAGTTTGTGTGACACTAGACATATATCATCTGCGGTGGTCCAGCTTATTCCTGACTCCTTGCTCCCCACAGTCTGACGCATAATCCAGTTCACCACAAAAGTTGGGAATATCATCGGTGATAATAGACAGCCCTCTCTCACCCCTGTATTCACTTCGAACGCCTCGCTGAGGTGTTTCTTTTGTGGACTACCTGATACGTGGCATTGTCATATAACCAGCTGTTGAATGAGGCTGATAAAGATTTGGGTACTGAACGCCATAGTGTTGCAGCAGTTTCCAAATTACTTCTCGGTCGACGCTGTCTGTTGAAGGTCTTTTCGAAGTCGATGAAGTTGAGGTAGAGACAGATTTGACTGCCATTCTATGATGACTATGCATAGAGTTGCAATTAGATCACCACATGAATCCAGCTTGTTCCGGCGGGTGCCGGAGTTCCGCATCCAGTTCATCTTTTACTCTCTCCAGGATATTGTGACTTATTTTTTTACTTGGTGTAGACAAGAGCATTATTCCACACCAGTCAGTTCTTCCAGTGTCCTAAATTGCCTTTCTTTGCTGGCTTAACAACGTAGCCTTTTTTCCAATCCGAAGGCACTTTTCCTTCCTTCCAAACCTTTTTCAATAATAAAGTGGTCACATCTGCCGCAGTCTCTAGGTCCGTTTTCAGTGCTTTGGTGTGGGAGGGATTTCGTCTGGCTCTGCTGCCTTCCCAACTAGCGTTCAGCAGCTTGATTGCACTCAGGATTTCCGCTTTGGTTGGCGGATTGGTGTCCACTGGTAGTTCTGTGGGTGTTGTTTTCGATGATGGTATTTCATGGCGAGTTGCAGGTGATGATACAATAAAGTGGCGAAGGAAAATTGACAAGTAAATTCAACGTTGTGAAACATGTTTGGAGAGTGGTTAGTACACAACAGCATGTATTAAACGGGAGGCAGAAATCAATAATTGGTTTATGAAATGAATGTAGTGGATACGTGAAGATATATGACTCCATCGGCTTAAGTAACTCGACTTTCAGTCGATGTGTTCTGGATTCAAATCTCGCTGCATCACCTAGCTCTCACACAAAATGCGAGTGCCGAGGAAAACTGAGTAATATCCAACTGACTGACTGTATTATTTAATTGAATTTTAGATTTTCCCGTCGATTGATGATTGGACCGAAGTGCTCGGTCTCAGGTTGACATGTCGGCTTCTTGTGCAGATGCTTCGACGATGTCTGGGCATGTAATTAGAGGTTAATTGGTGGTGGATGGTGATTAGCAGTGAAATCCACCAGGATAACGCGCATTTCGTCCTATTTGGTGTTTGAAACTATGGGCCGCGGGTTCGAGCCTCTGTGGGAACATCATCACTCCCTGGGGAATGCAGGTACATCCACTGGCTGACGAGTCCCAAATAGGACGAAACGCGCATCCTGGCTTGATTCCACTGCTAGTCACCATCCACCAATTAACCTGACTGACTGTATTCCAAAAATTTACTTTATTGTAAAGTTCTCTGTGATGACGATGTTGTCGAGAATGACGATGGAAGATTTGCAGTAGAACTATGCAGTTCAGTCAACACAAGAAGACTGAGGACGTCAACCTGAGCTGTCAGTATTCTCCATGAAGTATCACTTCATAGAAGAAAAATAGGTAACAGTATCGTTGGTGAATAAGCCAGTCACAGAATTCGAACCTATATGTAGTCGTTTTCACGGATTATGAAGGCTGTTTATACTGGCGTAGTTCTGTTCTCTGAGCTGGGTGATTGATTTAACTGTGAAGCATTTATCGCCCTTCTAGACAACATCTTCAGCGTAGGTTCTAGAGTGAAATGCACTTATTGGAATTCTCCATGAATGATGATGATGATAATATTGTATCTCTTCTGACCGGACAACCATTGTTGTGATTGGTTGTTAATTTACGTCTCTATTGATAATTTCTATTGACTGACTTAGAATTTGAACTTTCTTGTCATGTGACGATTCGCATTTCAGACTAGAACTTACCTAAGCTGAATATGTTGTCTAGATGGACGACAAAAGCTTCGCAAATATATAAATCAACTAGCTCAGAGAACCCAATTAAGTCAAAATCATCCATCTGAGCTACATATCTTCTCCATTATTTCAAACACCAAGAATAATTCAAACCATAATTCATATAAAACACGTTAATTAGTGATATAGAATTTATTTGGAATATAGGTCGTCTTATGTTTTATGATCACTCCATCACAGTGTATAGTGTATATATACGAAAAAGAGTGCAAACAAGATTTTGAAGACTGACTACACTCACCGCATGCACACACACACACACGACTCCGAAGGTAGAGAAAATATGCTTAGAAGAATTAAATCTCAAGGACAACACTAGAAATAAAATGCATTATGGTGTCATTTATGCCTTTGAAGCTCCTCTTCAGTTTAGTTATTATTATCATTGTCTCCTTCAGTTCCTAGAGGAACATAGGACTTCAGCCACACGTCTCCATCGCGTTCGGTTCTATGCCAACGTTTTCACCTGACTCCACGTCTGCCCACATGCTTTCTTCTCCTCTTCACACGACCTCCTCTCCGATGTCATCCTCGAACTGATGACCAACTGACTCGCCACTTCCCATTCGTCTGAGTTCCACTCGAGCGATGGCCTGGCGTGTGATGTCACGCACTTGACGATTTTTTGTTTTCTCAGAGTATGGCCACAATCCACCTCCATTTCTTTCTGCATATTTGTTGCATTATTGGTTCCTGCTGGGTTGGTTCTTTCATTGTCAGACATCCGTGTTTCGGATGTTATACAGTAAGTAATATTTACTGATGACCACATTTCGAGCACAATTTATCACTGCTCATCAACATCATATCAAGGTACTACTCACATTTCTTTCTTTTTTCGTTTATATACATGAGTGAAAAGTCACTAGACACATGAATAAAATCAATATTGGATAAAGTACAACTGTTGTTAGTCAATAATATGGGAAATAAGATGTTTTTACCTTCTTCTATTCGTTTTATTTTACAATCTAACTTCATAACCAATTCTCCTTGTTCATTTTCCGATTCAAATGTGAATTTTACTCATATTCATATTCCAAGGTAAAATATACAAACAAACTGAAGGAGATCACCGATATCCCCAGTTGTACCAGATATGTTTATGGATAAGTGGGAAAGCATAGCGATTGAAACGTTCACCCCCA